TGGTGATGACAGTAACAGCGTGTAGGGTGGAGGAAGGACTACCAACCTCCTGGCAATGACAGTAACAGTGTGTAGGGAGGAGGAAGGACTACCAACCTCCTGGCAATGACAGTAACAGCGTGTAGCGAGGAGGAAGGACTACCAACCTCCTGGTGATGACAGTAACAGCGTGTAGGGAGGAGGAAGGACTACCAACCTCCTGGCAATGACAGTAACAGTGTGTAGGGAGGAGGAAGGACTACCAACCTCCTGGTGATGACAGTCACAGTGTGTAGGGAGGAGGAAGGACTACCAACCTCCTGGTAATGACAGTAACAGTGTGTAGGGAGGAGGAAGGACTACCAACCTCCTGGTGATGACAGTAACAGCGTGTAGGGAGGAGGAAGGACTACCAACCTCCTGGCAATGACAGTAACAGTGTGTAGGGAGGAGGAAGGACTACCAACCTCCTGGCAATGACAGTAACAGTGTGTAGGGAGGAGGAAGGACTACCAACCTCCTGGTGATGACAGTAACAGTGTGTAGGGAGGAGGAAGGACTACCAACCTCCTGGCAATGACAGTAACAGTGTGTAGGGAGGAGGAAGGACTACCAACCTCCTGGCAATGACAGTAACAGTGTGTAGGGAGGAGGAAGGACTACCAACCTCCTGGTGATGACAGTAACAGTGTGTAGGGAGGAGGAAGGACTACCAACCTCCTGGTAATGACAGTAACAGTGTGTAGGGAGGAGGAAGGACTACCAACCTCCTGGTGATGACAGTAACAGTGTGTAGGGAGGAGGAAGGACTACCAACCTCCTGGTAATGACAGTAACAGTGTGTAGGGAGGAGGAAGGACTACCAGCCTCCTGGCAATGACAGTAACAGCTTGTAGGGAGGAGGAAGGACTACCAACCTCCTGGCAATGACAGTAACAGTGTGTAGGGAGGAGGAAGGACTACCAACCTCCTGGCAATGACAGTAACAGTGTGTAGGGAGGAGGAAGGACTACCAACCTCCTGGCAATGACAGTAACAGTGTGTAGGGAGGAGGAAGGACTACCAACGTCCTGGCAATGACAGTAACAGTGTGTAGGGAGGAGGAAGGACTACCAACTTCCTGGTGATGACAGTAACAGTGTGTAGGGAGGAGGAAGGACTACCAGCCTCCTGGCAATGACAGTAACAGTGTGTAGGGAGGAGGAAGGACTACCAACCTCCTGGTGATGACAGTAACAGTGTGTAGGGAGGAGGAAGGACTACCAACCTCCTGGCAATGACAGTAACAGTGTGTAGGGAGGAGGAAGGACTACCAACCTCCTGGCAATGACAGTAACAGTGTGTAGGGAGGAGGAAGGACTACCAACCTCCTGGCAATGACAGTAACAGTGTGTAGGGAGGAGGAAGGACTACCAACCTCCTGGCAATGACAGTAACAGTGTGTAGGGAGGAGGAAGGACTACCAACCTCCTGGCAATGACAGTAACAGCGTGTAGGGAGGAGGAATCCATAGCCAACATCGAGAAGGGATTACAACAACTGGCCCCAGGAAGGAATGTTGACTTCCTACGATACCAGATTGCCAACATCCTGAACAAAGATCAGCCCCAGAAACCCAACCTAACTCTGTATGAATGGAAAAGTAGAAACAACCTAAAATCTGACAACACCATCACCATCGCCCCAGCAGACAAAGGCAAGGCAACTGTCATCATGGACACCACCCACTTCAACACCTTAACCAACAACATCCTCAATGATCAATCCATCTATAAGCAGCTAAAGAAAGACCCCACCAACAGCCTACAGAAAGAGCACAAGACCTAACTTCCGGACAGCTATGAAATCGGCCCCACCCTCCAGAAAAAACTCATCTACCCTCACCCTAAGCCACCTTATGCCCAGGCAACCATAAAAATTCACAAAGACCCCGTCAAAGCCCGTCTCCTAGTCTGCTCAAGAGACACTGTTTACTACAATACGGCCAAGCATCTAGCCCGCCTCCTCGCACCTCTTGGAAAGACTGCGAAGTCCTTTGTGGCAGATTCGTCAGAATTCTGTAAGAAGGTTCTCAACATCCCCCAACCAGGAACCTTAATCAGCTATGACATTGTCGACCTGTTCACGAATGTACCTCGGGACGAGGCCATGGAAATCATCAGAACCCGCGTTGAGGAAATCCTCCCATCCCTAGACACCCGCCTAACAACTGACAGCATCATCCGACTCATACACTCCTGTATCAGCTCAACATACTTTACCTGGAGAGATAACTTCTATCAACAAACTCAAAGCCTCCCAATGGGATCCCCCTTATCACCTTTGATCACCGAGATATTTATGACCCACCTTGAAGAAAAAGCCTTGGAAACATCCCCCATAACTCCCCTCTGCTGGGTCTGCAAAGTTGATGACACCTTTGTCATCCTACATCCCAGCAATGACCCCAGAACTCTAATGGACCACCTGAATTCCCAAAACCCACGAATGCAGTTCACCATGGAGGAAGAAACCAATCGACAGCTCCCCTTCCTTGATGTACTCGTACAGAAAGATAATAACGACAAACTCCAGACCACTGTGTATCGGAAACCTACCCACACAGATCAATACATACACTATGCCTCCAACCATCCACCTCAAGTCAAGAAAGGAATTGTCTCAACCCTAGCAAGACGAGCTCACAACATCTGTTCCACGAAGCAACATCTACCTACTGAACTAAGCCACCTCAAACAAGTATTTACACAGTATAACCTCTATCCTGAGCAATTAGTACAACAGACGATAAAGAACATCACAAAGAACATCACCAAGAAATCTCTCTGAAATCCCCACGTCAACAGTCTGCACCCTTTGTGATCAGCCTCCCCTTCTTTGAAACAGTTAGGCACAAAATCCAGAGACTCTTAAAGAAACAGGCCGACATTGATGGAGTTTTCAAGAGAAGTCATACCATTCAGAACACAATTAAAGCCACAGGGAAACCACCATCCAGCCACAAGCTAGAACCATCAGGAGCAGTGTACCACATTCCATGCAATTGTGGACAAGTTTACATAGGAGAAACATCTAGGCCCCTCAAAACCCGAATAAAAGAACATCAAAGGTCAGTCTCCAAAGAGTCTCCCCTGGGCCGAGTTAATTAGGAGTGGTTGAGGGGCCATAGATTTAGTTTGGCTTGTCCCCCTCCGTTCCCTATGCCCAGGTATTAGAGCTTGTCTCTGGTGGACATTCCCCTCAGCACCTTGGAGGACTCGAGGGTCAATCTTCTCAGTATTGGGCTTTGTCCTAGAATTCCGCCTTAATACTTCCATGCCATGTACCTCAGAATGAGGGTTAGGCATGGGTGTCTTGGCGAGATGGCCGGATCCAGGATCCTTAGGGCTTCCAGGTTGGCAAGAGCCTCAGAGAAGACCTCCATCTCCCTACTGAAATCGATCGTGAGAGGCCACCTGCCATCAGTTCTAGAGAGCACTGTGACTTGGTGGAGTAAGTCCTCTACGCCTGCCCTACAAGTTGGTCCCCGCTTGTTCCAGATGTTTTTTTTAGGTTAGCGTTGATAGCATCCATATCAGGGCTAGGAACTGCTTGATCGAACATTTTAGCTTGTGACAACCCACACAAGGTACTTTCCGTAGCTGGAGTAAATTGTCCAAAGGTGGATTTAGGTGATAAATTTTTGGATGGTGGAGCTTGACCAGAAGCAGGTTGCCCCCCCATGCCGGGAGATCAAGAGCCTGCAGTTGGAATACCAATGGCGAGGGAGATGGTGCTTAGAGCCTTTTCAGGGTTTCTGATAGAGGGGAGATTACGAAACTCCTCAGAGCACAGATTAATATAGACTGGCGGAATGATTGGATTATCTGAAATAATCCAAAAACCCAACTAAATAATTAATTAAAAAGTACAAGTTATGAAAAAAACATGTTTGGAAGGAATACAATTGGGAAAGGAACAAAAGTGTCTGAGCCTTCCCTAAAGTATTCTTGCTCTTGTACTACAACCTAAGGTAAGACGAAGCTGACCTGTCGGTACCTATATGGCAGCTGTATAACATTAAACTAACCTAAGTAAAGAGATGCCAATATTGTGGATATGACAAATCATGTACATGTCAAAGGATAGATAAATGGAAGCTCCAACCTGCATGGCGGATTACACCTGGGTTAGACAGATCATGTCAGCAGAGAAAACCCAAGATATACAATCAACTATACCCCCACCAGTAGAGAATCGATACCAACCCAAACAACATCGTGCTACATGTTGCTAATAGGGTGAGGCAGTGGCAGCCGACTGCAAAGCCCATCGTCTGAAGAAGGATAGAGCGCAAGTTGATCTCTCCACGTTGCCGAATATACTGACTGCGGACCAGTTGAATGATGCTGTTCATATGAAGGACAGAGCATAAAAGTGAACGCATATTGTCAGCAGCCGGACTTACAGGCTTCATAAACCAGATCCAAGTGAACGATATTGTCCCCCAGAGGACCAACTAATCAGCTGCTAAGCATTAGCCATCCTTACCTAACACTACCAGACTTACTGATAAACACTCAACACTGCAGGCAAGATAACAGAACTGTAACCCCAAACTAATCTGTACGGTCAGCGGGTGTCTCAAACTGAAATGAAACCTGGCCATACTAGGGTGAAATACTTGCACCATCTAACGTTTGACCTATGCTAATACAACACAATCACATTTCATGAATGACATAAACATGACCATAAAAGTGACTGAGGTTTAAAACTAGCCAATCAAGAGGGCACCTGGGCTTACACTCTGATTGACCACCAAGGATTACTTGTCTACCCTACAATGCAGTTGACAGAGCCAATAAGTGAAACCTAACAAAAGAGTAGATCTTTAATAATGACGCTTAACTTACAACTACTTGAATATCTTATGCAGCCTGAAATGACTACTACAATAGTTAGAGGTACTTTCACTTATAGTGGCATCAGGCTCATATGGTTGTAGCACAGTATTCCTGTACAGTATGCCTGTGTTGCAGGTTCTCATCCTGGAGCCGAACAAGGAGCTCATCCCAAGCTACATCCAGGTAGACTCGGAGGCTGACGACAAGGTACCAGTGTTTGCATTGGGAGGAGAATATTACATATTGTTTTATTCTCTTTACAAGCTACATTTGGAGAATTGTTGTCTTGGAGGCAATTCACTTCATTTTGTTTCCAAACAAGAAAGTTTCACAAAATCATTATTTTTTAATAGTTTTAATTCTTAAGCTTTATGAAGTTTTGTTTCTGACATGTGCAGCTGTATTTTCAGCGTGTGTTGTTGTGGTTTGTCACCCCCAATAAGCGGGACCAACGCCTGAGTGAGTGGTCTTTCCCCCTGGAGACCATTAAAAGAGTCAGGTAGGATATGTGTTATTCACCTGGCTGCCCTTATTAATTTGATTGTGGTATTACCAATGGCATGCACACAATGAGGTGTTTCAGACATGCCTAGCTTCATGAAAAAAGTATATCGCTTACTAAGGTTGTGTGCAACTGACCCACGAAGATCCGGAGTATAATAGGTATACACCATCCCTTGCTTGCCGTAAAAGGCGACCAACAGTGATCGGATGGTCAGGCTCTAACGGGATCAGATGCTGACTTGGTTGATGCGTGTCATCGTATCCCAATTGCGTTGATCAATGCTCACGATGCAATAACTGGATTGTCTGGTTCAGACGCAGTTATTTGCAGACCGCTATCATATAGTTGGAATATTACTGAGTGTGGTGTTAAACAAAAAACAAACAAATTGTGTGCAACTAATGAGCTTTTTATGATGACATGAAGGGTTTGCTGAAAAGTTCTAAGCACAGGCTGTATAGTACACCCTTAACAGTTTGCACACACAGGCTGTATAGTACACCCTTAACAGTTTGCACACACAGGCTGTATAGAACACCCTTAACAGTTTGCATACACAGGCTGTATAGTACACCCTTAACAGTTTGCACACACAGGCTGTATAGAACACCCTTAACAGTTTGCATACACAGGCTGTATAGTACACCCTTAACAGTTTGCATACACAGGCTGTATAGTACACCCTTAACAGTTTGCACACACAGGCTGTATAGTACACCCTTAACAGTTTGCATACACAGGCTGTATAGTACACCCTTAACAGTTTGCATACACAGGCTGTATAGTACACCCTTAACAGTTTGCACACACAGGCTGTATAGTACACCCTTAACAGTTTGCATACACAGGCTGTATAGTACACCCTTAACAGTTTGCACATACAGGCTGTATAGTACACCCTTAACAGTTTGCACACACAGGCTGTATAGTACACCCTTAACAGTTTGCATACACAGGCTGTATAGTACACCCTTAACAGTTTGCACACACAGGCTGTATAGTACACCCTTAACAGTTTGCATACACAGGCTGTATAGTACACCCTTAACAGTTTGCACACACAGGCTGTATAGTACACCCTTAACAGTTTGCACACACAGGCTGTATAGTACACCCTTAACAGTTTGCACATACAGGCTGTATAGTACACCCTTAACAGTTTGCATACACAGGCTGTATAGTACACCCTTAACAGTTTGCATACACAGGCTGCATAGTACACCCTTAACAGTTTGCATACACAGGCTGTATAGTACACCCTTAACAGTTTGCATACACAGGCTGTATAGTACACCCTTAACAGTTTGCACACACAGGCTGTATAGTACATCCTTAACAGTTTGCATACACAGGCTGTATAGTACACCCTTAACAGTTTGCATACACAGGCTGTATAGTACACCCTTAACAGTTTGCACACACAGGCTGTATAGTACGCCCTTAACAGTTTGCATACACAGGCTGTATAGTACACCCTTAACAGTTTGCACACACAGGCTGTATAGTACACCCTTAACAGTTTGCACACACAGGCTGTATAGTACACCCTTAACAATTTGCACACACAGGCTGTATAGTACACCCTTAACAGTTTGCACACACAGGCTGTATAGTACACCCTTAACAGTTTGCACATACAGGCTGTATAGTACACCCTTAACAGTTTGCATACACAGGCTGTATAGTACACCCTTAACAGTTTGCATACACAGGCTGCATAGTACACCCTTAACAGTTTGCATACACAGGCTGTATAGTACACCCTTAACAGTTTGCATACACAGGCTGTATAGTACACCCTTAACAGTTTGCACACACAGGCTGTATAGTACATCCTTAACAGTTTGCATACACAGGCTGTATAGTACACCCTTAACAGTTTGCATACACAGGCTGTATAGTACACCCTTAACAGTTTGCACACACAGGCTGTATAGTACGCCCTTAACAGTTTGCATACACAGGCTGTATAGTACACCCTTAACAGTTTGCACACACAGGCTGTATAGTACACCCTTAACAGTTTGCATACACAGGCTGTATAGTACACCCTTAACAGTTTGCATACACAGGCTGTATAGTACACCCTTAACAGTTTGCACACACAGGCTGTATAGTACACCCTTAACAGTTTGCATACACAGGCTGTATAGTACACCCTTAACAGTTTGCATACACAGGCTGTATAGTACACCCTTAACAGTTTGCATACACAGGCTGTATAGTACACCCTTAACAGTTTGCATACACAGGCTGTATAGTACACCCTTAACAGTTTGCATACACAGGCTGTATAGTACACCCTTAACAGTTTGCATACACAGGCTGTATAGTACACCCTTAACAGTTTGCATACACAGGCTGTATAGTACACCCTTAACAGTTTGCACACACAGGCTGTATAGTACACCCTTAACAGTTTGCATACACAGGCTGTATAGTACACCCTTAACAGTTTGCATACACAGGCTGTATAGTACACCCTTAACAGTTTGCACACACAGGCTGTATAGTACACCCTTAACAGTTTGCATACACAGGCTGTATAGTACACCCTTAACAGTTTGCATACACAGGCTGTATAGTACACCCTTAACAGTTTGCACACACAGGCTGTATAGTACACCCTTAACAGTTTGCACACACAGGCTGTATAGTACACCCTTAACAGTTTGCATACACAGGCTGTATAGTACACCCTTAACAGTTTGCACACACAGGCTGTATAGTACACCCTTAACAGTTTGCACATACAAGCTGTATAGTACACCCTTAACAGTTTGCATACACAGGCTGTATAGTACCCCTCTAATAGTGTGCATACACAGGCTGTATAGTACACCCTTAACAGTTTGCACACACAGGCTGTATAGTACACCCTTAACAGTTTGCACACACAGGCTGTATAGTACAACTATAGTTCTGCTGTGGATGACTTTTTAGATCACCAGGAGGAAGCCTTCTACACCAGTGGGATCCAGGCACTCCAGCATTATTGGAAGAAGAGAGTGGACCTTGTCTGGGATTATGTTGAAAACTAATTAGCAACCATCTCCATCAACACAGTCCATCATAGTTATGCTCAGAACTTTTCAGCCACCCCTCTCCACATACTCGTATTTGCATGTTTCTTTAGGAAGTCCAAGTAAACTATGAAATGCCACTTTATGTGGCAGATGGAGCAATCGTGTAGGTCTTTGTTGTTTTATAGACTCATCAACAAATATGAAAAAGCGACCTTGAATCAGTGCTAAATGGGGCATGGTCATGACACATACTACTTTGAAGTAGCCATCTCGTCCACTGAACACGTCTGTGACAAGGACTGGGACGGCTTATATCTTTCAGAAGAGTATGTGGTGTCAGAAAGTTTTCAAAAACAAAAATGACATCATCGGTCACATTTGCCTGAAGAACCCTCTTTTCTGTTGGCATTATGTCAGTGTTCTCTTGAGAATTTCAATTCAGGTACATAGTGGTAGATGCTGGTAATTGCAGGTAGTCTGTATTTTAGTCAGGTACTGAGAAGAAACTACTTTGACAATGACCCATTCAGTGAACTGATGGTTTTGTTTGGTTGCAACCTTGCAATAAGAGACCTGTGTTTCAGTCTGTACAAGCGAGACAGTCGGGCTTTGTTTCTCTATGTGCAAGAAAATGCTGATGACGACTTCCACATCTATTTCTCATCAGAAGTACAGAAAACCAGGTCAGTTATCTCAATACAGTGTCCGGGTGGCCTACAATGGAAATGTTTGCTGATATAGCTTTAACAGACTGAAAGGATAACCTAAAGGCACACACAAAATATGTGTACCTATTTTGAGAATGTAAAATTGTGTAGAAAACAACCTTATTTTTGGAAACACTCGTTTTTCTGCTTTCATCAGAGGATGTCAAACATATTTCGACCAATATTCTCCAATAAAACTGTCAAATAATGGACAAGCCATATTGCCATGTTTGTTTGAAGTAAAAGCTGTTCAATCAGCTGTGTAAACTGACATAGAAAACAGTGAGAAGAAAGTACTAATTTTTTGTGTGCATCAGACAGTGTTTTTAGAAACACATGTTCACATTTTCTTTGATATACTGATTTACAAAACTGTGTAATGTATGTAAATGTCTAAATATAAACATAAATATACCAAATAACAATGAGCTGCCCCAGTCATGTTCAGATTTCAATGGACCGCCTCCGTGGTCTAGTGGTAGAGCGTCCGCCCGGAGAGCGGAAGGTCCAGGGTTCGATCCCGGGCTGCGTCATACAAAAAGACGTTAAAAGATTGTACTTGTTGTTACCCTGTCTGGCGCTCGGCATTAAGGGGCTAAAACAAGGACTGGTCGGCTCGGAGTCAGTATACTGTGCCTGAGTGGGGTATTCATGTTAAACTGCGGCATGGTATCTCAGTGTACTAGCACTATAAATCGGCATCAGTCCGGACTAGTACAAGCAGCCACACACACACATACACGTGCATGCACGTCGCTATATAAGTGCAATAATCTTGGACGCGACGTTAAACCCAATTTCACCTCACCTCAGATTTCAATGCATTACTATGGGCGGCCATTCGTTGAAAAAAATACAAAGTTGAAAGAAAGGACAAAAATATGCAGTAATAGTCAAATGTTACGAATAAAGTATTAAATGTTACTAATAAAGGTCAAAATATAAAACAAACCGACTGGTTTAAAAAGTATAAAGTTAAAATAAAGATCAAAAGTATGCAATATAATAGTCAAATGTTACGAAAAGACGTCATATGAAAAAAAAGAACAGTGTGTACTAAAGAATGTCAGCGCGCAAGAAAGGACACTAAACTGCTAAAGGATGTTGGCAATAAAGAACGCCAGATGGCGCTGCAATTTGGAAAACATTAAAAAAAAGTTTAATCGGCTTGTTCCTCTGTGTATATGATAACTGCATGCCGAGGTGCACAATATATTACGTCATTCCTTGTGCACTCACCGTCTGACGTCACATGGATTAATGTACACATTGTGTATATATACATGTTGCGTTTATGCATCGTCACCGAGAAAGGGCCTTTTTGCTTGGTGCAACAAGAGGGTGTTGTGATGCCAAGTTATGTTTCATTACGTCTGAAAAGTGAACGTTGTGTGAGAATTGGCTCACTGTCAACCTCATTTACATATAGCGAAAAAAAAGCTGCCTGATATCTGAATGACAAAAATATATATCAAATGGATTTGTATGCTTATGAATAACGTTATACATTCGATACATTGAGCAATTCTCACACAACAATTTTACATTATATATATTGCATTGTTTGGACAAGGAGGTATTTAACAGTAATATTGTAATGTTTTGAACATGTGAGGTGGAGAGATGAACTTATATGGATACGATATTGTCACGATGTGTATGGTTTGACTTCAGGTTCTACGATGTGATGTGTAATTTGGCAGTCAACCCAGAATGCTGCACGAGAGATGCAGATGAGTTTGAGGAGGTTGTTGATGTAAGTATTAATCAGTGATCAATAGGGATGAGAAGGTAACAGTGTGATGCTGTGTGTCTTGTTTCTCCAGTATGACAAGGATGAGAAGGTAACAGTGTGATGCTGTGTGTCTGGTTTCTCCAGTATGACAAGGTTGAGAAGGTAACAGTGTGATGCTGTGTGTCTTGTTTCTCCAGTATGACAAGGATGAGAAGGGTAACTGTGTGATGCTGTGTGTCTGGTTTCTCCAGTATGACAAGGATGAGAAGGTAACAGTGTGATGCTGTGTGTCTGGTTTCTCCAGTATAACAAGGATGAGAAGGTAACAGTGTGATGCTGTGTGTCTGGTTTCTCCAGTATGACAATGTTGAGAAGTTAACAGTGTGATGCTGTGTGTCTTGTTTCTCCAGTATGACAAGGTTGAGAAGGTAACAGTGTTATGCTGTGTGATTTGTTTCTCCAGTATGACGAGGATGAGAAGGTAACAGTGTGATGCTGTGTGTCTTGTTTCTCCAGTATGACAAGGATGAGAAGCGTAACAGTGTGATGCTGTGTGTCTTCTTTCTCCAGTATGACAAGGTTGAGAAGGTAACAGTGTGATGCTGTGTGTCTTGTTTCTCCAGTATGACAAGGTTGAGAAGGTAACAGTGTGATGCTGTGTGTCTTGTTTCTCCAGTATGACAAGGATGAGAAGGTAACAATGTGATGCTGTGTGTCTGGTTTCTCCAGTATGACAATGATGAGAAGGTAACAGTGTGGTGCTATGTGTCTGGTTTCTCCAGTTTGACAAGGATGAGAAGGTAACAGTGTGATGCTGTGTGTCTTGTTTCTCCAGTATGACAAGGTTGAGAAGGTAACAGTGTTATGCTGTGTGATTTGTTTCTCCAGTATGACGAGGATGAGAAGGTAACAGTGTGATGCTGTGTGTCTTGTTTCTCCAGTATGACAAGGTTGAGAAGGTAACAGTGTGATGCTGTGTGTCTTGTTTCTCCAGTATAACAAGGATAAGAAGGTAACAGTGTGATGCTGTGTGTCTTGTTTCTCCAGTATAACAAGGTTGAGAAGGTAACAGTGTGATGCTGTGTGTCTTGTTTCTCCAGTATGACAAGGATAAGAAGGTAACAGTGTGATGCTGTGTGTCTTGTTTCTCCAGTATAACAAGGATGAGAAGGTAACAGTGTGATGCTGTGTGTCTTGTTTCTCCAGTATGACAAGGATGAGAAGGTGACAGTGTGGTGCTGTGTGTCTGGTTTCTCCAGTATGACAATGATGAGAAGGTAACAGTGTGATGCTGTGTGTCTTGTTTCTCCAGTATGACAAGGTTGAGAAGGTAACAGTGTGATGCTGTGTGTCTTGTTTCTCCAGTATGACAAGGATGAGAAGGGTAACTGTGTGATGCTGTGTGTCTGGTTTCTCCAGTATGACAAGGATGAGAAGGTAACAGTGTGAAGCTGTGTGTCTGGTTTCTCCAGTATGACGAGGATGAGAAGGTAACAGTGTGATGCTGTGTGTCTTGTTTCTCCAGTATGACAAGGATGAGAAGGTAACAGTGTGGTGCTGTGTGTCTGGTTTCTCCAGTATGACAAGGATGAGAAGGGTAACAGTGTGATGCTGTGTGTCTTGTTTCTCCAGTATGACGAGGATGAGAAGGGTAACAGTGTGATGCTGTGTGTCTGGTTTCTTCAGTATGACAAGGTTGAGAAGGTAACAGTGTGGTGCTGTGTGTCTGGTTTCTCCAGTATGACAAGGATGAGAAGGTAACAGTGTGGTGCTGTGTGTCTTGTTTCTCCAGTATGACAAGGATGAGAAGGTAACAGTGTGGTGCTGTGTGTCTGGTTTCTCCAGTATAACAAGGTTTAGAAGGTAACAGTGTGGTGCTGTGTGTCTGGTTTCTCCAGTATGACAAGGATGAGAAGGTAACAGTGTGATGCTGTGTGTCTTGTTTCTCCAGTATGACAAGGATGAGAAAGTAACAGTGTGGTGCTGTGTGTCTGGTTTCTCCAATATGACGAGGATGAGAAGGGTAACAGTGTGATGCTGTGTGTCTTGTTTCTCCAGTATGACAAGGATGAGAAGGTAACAGTGTGATGCTGTGTGTCTTGTTTCTCCAGTATGACAAGGAAGAGAAGGTAACAGTGTGATGCTGTGTCTTGTTTCTCCAGTATGACAAGGATGAGAAGGTAACAGTGTGATGCTGTGTGATTTGTTTCTCCGGTATGACGAGGATGAGAAGGTAACAGTGTGATGCTGTGTGTCTTGTTTCTCCAGTATGACAATGTTGAGAAGGTAACAGTGTGATGCTGTGTGATTTGTTTCTCCAGTATGACGAGGATGAGAGGTAACAGTGTGATGCTGTGTGTCTTGTTTCTCCAGTATGACAAGGTTGAGAAGGTAACAGTGTGATGCTGTGTGACTTGTTTCTCCAGTATGACAAGGATGAGAAGGTAACAGTGTGGTGCTGTGTGTCTGGTTTCTCCAGTATGACAAGGTTGAGAAGGTAACAGTGTGATGCTGTGTGTCTTGTTTCTCCAGTATGACAAGGATGAGAAGGTAACAGTGTGGTGCTGTGTGTCTGGTTTCTCCAGTATGACAAGGTTGAGAAGGTAACAGTGTGATGCTGTGTGTCTTGTTTCTCCAGTATGACGAGGATGAGAAGGGTAACTGTGTGATGCTGTGTGTCTTGTTTCTCCAGTATGACAAGGTTGAGAAGGTAACAGTGTGATGCTGTGTGATTTGTTTCTCCAGTATGACGAGGATGAGAAGCTAACAGTGTGATGCTGTGTGTCTTGTTACTCCAGTATGACAAGGTTGAGAAAGTAACAGTGTGGTGCTGTGTGTCTGGTTTCTCCAGTATGACGAGGATGAGAAGGGTAACTGTGTGATGCTGTGTGTCTTGTTTCTCCAGTATGACAAGGATGAGAAGGTAACAGTGTGATGCTGTGTGTCTTGTTTCTCCAGTATGACGAGGATGAGAAGGGTAACAGTGTGATGCTGTGTGTCTTGTTTCTCCAGTATGACAAGGATGAGAGGGTAACAATGTGATGCTGTGTGTCTTGTTTCTCCAGTATGACAAGGAAGAGAAGGTAACAGTGTGATGCTGTGTCTTGTTTCTCCAGTATGACAAGGGTGAGAAGGTAACAGTGTGATGCTGTGTGATTTGTTTCTCCTGTATGACGAGGATGAGAAGGTAACAGTGTGATGCTGTGTGTCTTGTTTCTCCAGTATGACGAGGATGAGAAGGTAACAGTGTGATGCTGTGTGTCTTCTTTCTCCAGTATGACAAGGTTGAGAAGGTAACAGTGTGGTGCTGTGTGTCTTGTTTCTCCAGTATGACAAGGATGAGAAGGGTAACAGTGTGATGCTGTGTGTCTGGTTTCTCCAGTATGACAAGGATGAGAAGGTAACAGTGTGATGCTGTGTGTCTTGTTTCTCCAGTATAACAAGGATGAGAAGGTAACAGTGTGATGCTGTGTGTCTGGTTTCTCCAGTATAACAAGGTTGAGAAGGTAACAGTGTTATGCTGTGTGTCTTGTTTCTCCAGTATGACAAGGATGAGAAGGGTCACAGTGTGATGCTGTGTGTCTTGTTTCTCCAGTATGACAAGGATGAGAAGGGTAACAGTGTGATGCTGTGTGTCTTCTTTCTCCAGTATGAGTATGACAAGGATGAGAAGGATAACCGTGTGATGCTTGGTCGTGGGACATATGGATCTGTGTATGCAGCCCGTGACAAGAAGACACAGATCAAGATAGCTATTAAGGAAGTGCCTGAGAAATACAAACAGTGAGTACTACGGCCATTTGAAAGCTGTTTGAGAAAAGTTGAATTCGGAGCATTGAGCAAACTTTTATCTTTGTGACATTGTTCATATGGTTAAATAGGAACTAGACTTCCCCTTGGATATGTAGGTCAGGAACTGCTTACCCTTTTTATGATCATCTGGTGTCATCAGTGGTATATAATTTTCATCGCTATTTGGCCTTATCTCCTTCGGAATCCGTTTGGTTGGTGATCTAGGGTGGTCTCTCTCTGGCATTGACATTTTATATTAACTCACCTGACTGAAAGTCACTGTGAAACAATTTGCTCAGTTGACTGAAGTTTTTTTCATGTGTAGTTTCTGCTATGTGAGGCTCAGAACTTATCACCCCTCGTAGCTAAATTTGTACTAATCAGATTTCATGTTTGTGTTGTAAGAAAGTCCCAATTACAAGTATTTGCTATGACTCTTTCCCAGAGAAGTGCAGCCTCTTCATGAAGAGATCCGACTGCACAGTCGACTGAGTCACAAGAACATCGTCAAGTATCTGGGCTCTGTCAGTGAAGATGGCTTCTTCAAGATCTTCATGGAGCAGGTTCCAGGAGGTTGGTAGTCCTTCCTCCTCCCTTCCACCCTCCATACTGTTACTGTCATCACCAGGAGGTTGGTAGTCCTTCCTCCACGCTACACACTGTTACTGTCATTACCAGGAGGTTGGTAGTCCTTCCTCCTCCCTACACACTGTTACTGTCATTGCCAGTAGTTTGGTAGTCCTTCCTCCTCCCCCCATACTGTTACTGTCATCACCAGGAGGTTGGTAGTCCTTCCTCCTCCCTCCACACTGTTACTGTCATTACCAGGAGGTTGGTAGTCCTTCCTCCTCCCTACACACTGTTACTGTCATTGCCTGGAGGTTGGTAGTCCTTCCTCCTCTCTACACACTGTTACTGTCATTACCAGGAGGTTGGTAGTCCTTCCTCCACGCTACACACTGTTACTGTCATTACCAGGAGGTTGGTAGTCCTTCCTCCTCCCTCCACACTGTTACTGTCATTACCAGGAGGTTGGTAGTCCTTCCTCCTCGCTACACACTGTTACTGTCATCACCAGGAGGTTGGTAGTCCTTCCTCCTCCCTACACACTGTTACTGTCATTACCGGGAGGTTGGTAGTCCTTCCTCCTCCCTACACACTGTTACTGTCATTGCCAGTAGTTTGGTAGTCCTTCCTCCTCCCCCCATACTGTTACTGTCATCACCAGGAGGTTGGTAGTCCTTCCTCCTCCCTCCACACTGTTACTGTCATTACCAGGAGGTTGGTAGTCCTTCCTCCTCCCTACACACTGTTACTGTCATTGCCAGGAGGTTGGTTGTCCTTCCTCCTCTCTACACACTGTTACTGTCATTGCCAGGAGGTTGGTAGTCCTTCCTCCACGCTACACACTGTTACTGTCATTACCAGGAGGTTGGTAGTCCTTCCTCCTCCCTCCACACTGTTACTGTCATTACCAGGAGGTTGGTAGTCCTTCCTCCTCGCTACACACTGTTACTGTCATCACCAGGAGGTTGGTAGTCCTTCCTCCTCCCTACACACTGTTACTGTCATTACCGGGAGGTTGGTAGTCCTTCCTCCTCCCTACACACTGTTACTGTCATCACCAGGAGGTTGGTAGTCCTTCCTCCTCCCTACACACTGTTACTGTCATTACCAGGAGGTTGGTAGTCCTTCCTCCTCCCTACACACTGTTACTGTCATCACCAGGAGGTTGGTAGTCCTTCCTCCTCCCTACACACTGTTACTGTCATTACCAGGAGGTTGGTAGTCCTTCCTCCTCCCTACACACTGTTACTGTCATTGCCAGGAGGTTGGTAGTCCTTCCTCCTCCCTCCTCCCTCCTCCCTCCACACTGTTACTGTCATTACCAGGAGGTTGGTAGTCCTTCCTCCTCGCTACACACTGTTACTGTCATTACCAGGAGGTTGGTAGTCCTTCCTCCTCCCTACACGCTGTTACTGTCATTGCCAGGAGGTTGGTAGTCCTTCCTCCTCCCTACACACTGTTACTGTCATTACCAGGAGGTTGGTAGTCCTTCCTCCTCGCTAAATACCAGTGGCTGGGTTTATGTGGCTTCTAAAAAAGGTTTGAAATCATTTAATGTACATGATAAAGTTAACGAATTCTTAGTGTCAGACTTGCCTTGTGTCACAACACGGAGTTATAACACAACCCAAATATGGATTAAAAGTAAGTTTTTAAGTTAAGAATTATACTGATAAATAACTTAACAGCTTATGTACTCACAGCCATTCAACTAACTTTAATTAACTATCTCCCTTCACACACTTCACACTCACTCTGTCACTCTAACATACTCTTTCTAAATAATAAAGGTTACTCAACACTACTGACAAGTGCACTAATCCTAAACTACTGGGCCACCTCCTATATAACTACTAATACATTAATACATCATGGCATCAACTTCAGAGCACAACATCAATACTTTGATACATTAATACATCATGGCATCAACTTCAGAGCACAACATCAATACCTTAATACATCAATACATCATGGTGTCAACTTTAGAGCACAACATCAATACCTAAATGCATCAATACATCATGGCGTCAACTTCAGAGCACAACATCAATACCTTAATGCATCAATACATCATGGCGTCACCTCAGAGCACAACATCAATACCCTAATGCATCAAAATATCATGGCGTCAACTTCAGAGCACAACATCTATACCTTAATGTATCAATACATCATGGCGTCACCTCAGAGCACAACATCAATACCTTAATACATCCATACATCATGGCATCAACTTCAGAGCACAACATCAATACCTTGATACATCAATACATCATGGCATCAACTTCAGAGCACAATATCAATACCTTAATACATCATGGCATCAACTTCAGAGCACAACATTAATACCTTAATACATCATGGCATCATTGCGTCAACTTCAGAGCACAACATCAATACCTTAATGCATCAATACATCATGGCATCAACTTCAGAGCACAACATCTATACCTTAATGCATCAATACTGCAATACGTCAATAATTCAATACATTGGTACATTGACATGTCAAATGCATGGTATGATGCATGTCTACAATCTGTTGTGTCACATGTGTACTTTATTATGTACACACCGCCGTGATATTGCTGGAATATTGCTGGAATATTGCTAAAAGCGGTGTTAAACCATACTCACTCACTCACTCACTTATTATGTACAAACAATATACAAAGTGACTTTCTCCATGTGTCCTTCCACCATCACTGCACTGTACACGGTACATCGATCATGGTCACATGCCTCACACAGGTCTTATCCAATCCAGATGTAAACATCTTCATGTAAATGGCCATCTGTCCCCCTGGGATCAGGCTTCATAAAGTGAATGGCACTGCCTCATACGTCATACAGGTGCCCCTCTGGGTCCCCGGACGATGTGTAACAAATGTATACACGTCAGTTTACATACTAGTAACCATTCACCTTACATCAAGTATTATATACTCAGAATGGGACTCTCATAGTTATTCAACATACAGATGAGCATGGGAACATGCTCAGAATAACTACACACGGTTATTCAACATACATCAAGCATGTACTGTACACAGAATAACAAAAACAGCACACAGTTATTCAACATACATTGAGCAAGTATTACTCAGAATAACCAATTTCAATATCAACAGTAAATGTACTTAATTATATGATGTTGTTTCTTTTAATTACGACTGCCAAAACACAGCCAAATCAAGACTTTGTTGGTGTGAGATATTTAAGATGGAATAACTTCATTCACAATGAATATACACTACAACACATGCGTTCATACATCTGTATACTATTTTTTTATTACATATATATATACATGTAACTCTACAGATAATACATACATGATCTAATATTTAAGAATATAAGCATAGATAATATTCAAATATAATGCAACTAACGCCACGAGATTGGAAAAACCACACCAAAACCAAAACCTTCCAACCAAGGTTAGAATTCTCATAGACTGCCATAAATTTTAGTTGAGTCTTCTTAAATACCCTTTCAATCACACAGCTAATACAACAAAAGACATTCACTCCTGACTCAAGCAATCTTACATAACATCTTTAAAGCTCACAGTTTACATACTGTCCAACCACACTCTAATACATACAGTCAAACCAACTTAAGAGAAATAAAAAGAATGTGATCTTGACACCAAGTGCAAAGGCATTTGATTATATTTGTTTGTAAATATAACAGGGAGCCTGTCGCAGTTGCTGCGTTCCAAGTGGGGGCCCCTGAAAGACAACGAGACAACCATTGCCTTCTACACCAAGCAGATTCTGGAGGGACTGCGCTACCTGGTCTGTGCACCATCACCATTACTAGTATCATGTGAAACTCACACTGTTATTGAGTACATCAAACTCTTACCCTTTCTTTTCAGTATTATGATCAAATAAATAAAGTCATTATTGAAGTTACTTGTAGAATGTGATTTCGATTCCATTGAATGTGTTCTGGTTGTAATTGATCCATGTCCACCATCCTTGTTCCACATGTTAGCATGACAACAAGATTGTACACCGGGACATCAAGGGGGACAACGTGCTGGTCAACACATACAGTGGCGTACTGAAGATCTCCGACTTCGGCACATCCAAGCGACTGTCTGGAATTAACCCTTGTGCTGATACCTTTGCTGGTTAGTCAGCTAACATTAGCTTTCACAAAGGAATCCATTCCAACTTGGCTTTATTGTTTTATTGGATCGAGAATTATTATTTCCTAGTATTTGATTGTTTACTGATGAAGATGTCTATGTTGCTAGGAACTATCCAGTACATGGCTCCTGAAGTGATAGACAAGGGTTCCCGTGGCTACGGCCCTCCTGTAAGTACACTGACTTGACAGACTTCCTGGGCTGATATGCTCAGCTCCACATGCTGACCGGAGATTGCAAGTTTTGGACATTGTGGATAACATGAATGATACATAAGGAAGAGAATGTATGGATGTCAACTTCTTTATTATGAGGAACATGTTTCGGGCTTTCACCTTCATCGGGTGAATTCACCTGATGGAGTAAGCATATACTCAGAAATGTTGTGTTCCTCATAATGAAGAAGTTGACATACATAAATTTTCTTCCTTATGTGTATCACTTCTAAATGCCTTTCAAAGGCTTGACAAATGATACTATCTCACAAACCATGGAAGATTACACTATCATACATATCTACCAAACATGTAGGGGACAATGAAATAGAAGTTATGATCAGTCTTCAGAAGAAACTAAAGATCAGGTTTGAGAAATGACTGCCAGAGATAGAAGGGTTTTAGGAATCAAAACACTCTGCCACAACACACCAGAAACACTGCAATTCCTCCGCTCACATGGGTCCGGGAGGTAATTCTTGATTTTGACACTTCAGCGAAATTTTGTCAAATTAGCTATTCATATTATTGTTTTTCATTATCCACAATAACATGTAAGACTTCAAATTGATTCAGACCCTTCCACCGCTTTTAAGGAGTGTTGGACCAATAGTGGGCTGATGACGTATTATTGATAATGTCATCCCAAACATTATTTTTATTTACTACACACCTCTGTCCTCTTTATTGGTTGTTTGCACCCTTACAATGCAACGTGTTCTGTTGATTGTCATGTTACACCTTGTCCTTCCTTTTTCTTATCCATCCATTACCATCACTCCATATGTCTTTGCATTTCTGTAATCATCTGATATGTTTTAATACCCCCTAATATGTTCTGAGGGAGTATATGTCAATATTACCAAGATGTTCATGGCAAGTATATGATTGATGTGCTTCATTATTTTATTGAGTGTTTCTGTATGTTTATTAATCTAATTGCAGGCTGATATTTGGTCCCTGGGATGCACAGTCATAGAGATGGCCACAGGGAAACCTCCATTTGTTGAGGTGAGACCTTCATGTGTCTGAGATCCATGTGTTTGAGATGCATGTGTCTGAGCTCCATGTGTCTGAGCTCCATTTGTCTGAGATCCATGTGTTTGAGATCCATCTGTCTGAGTTCCATGTGTCTGAGATCCATGTGTCGGAGCTCCATGTGTCTGAGTTCCATGTGTCTGGGTTCCATGTGTCTGAGATCCATGTGTCTGAGTTCCATGTGTCTGAGATCCATCTGTCTGAGTTCGATGTGTCTGAGATCCATGTGTCTGGGTTCCATGTGTCTGAGATTCACGTGTCTGAGTTCCATGTGTCTGAGATCCATGTGTCTGAGCTCCCTGTGTCTGAGATTCATGTGTCTGGGTTCCATGTGTCTGAGATCCATGTGTCTGAGATTCATATGTCTAGGTTTCATGTGTCTAAGCTTCCTTTGCCTGAGTTCCATGCGTCTTAGATTCATGTGTCTCAGTTCCATGTGTGTGAGCTCCATGTGTCTGAGCTCCCTGTGTCTGAGCTCCCTGTGCCTGAGATCCATCTGTACATATGTCTATGTTCTGTTTCAGCTGGGTTCCCCAGAGGCTGCTATGTTTAAAGTAGGCTTCTACAAGATGCATCCTGACATCCCAGAGTCTATGTCCAACAAGGCAAAAGAATTTCTTCTCAGGTGATACATCACTTCACTTCAGATTGTAAGGACTAATGCATTGACAAAAATACATAATAAACAATGTGTTTGTCTCATCTTGTGGCATACAAAGTTGACATTTTCACTGATGTCTGCACCACTCATGAAATTTCACTTAATGAGATAAACATGTTATTTGACAAGAAAAGACAAATATCCTGTACGTATTTTGATCTGTACAGAAGCTGTATTCAGTGATTTCTGTCTTTGCCAGGTGTTTTGAGCCAATGTCAGATGACCGAGCTACTGGACCGTCTCTACTGGAACACCCCTTCATCCTGGAGTAAGTAACACAACATTCATAACGCTATTGACTAACTTCCTTCACTCCTTCCATATATGTTTTCAGATTTAGGAGGGCATTCACATGGGGAAATATTGAAATTGATATTCACATACAAATTGCTTATGTTTCGAAATCAACATCTTGTATATATGTGAGAAACTGTTTACCAAATTGTTTCATTAAAGGTTCCTCTCAATATTAATATTACTTCTATGCCATATTTCTTTTCCACACAAACACACTACATCTATGACATAGTACATTCCACACAAACATTTGACATCCGTGCATACTGCATCCCACACAACACACTACATCAATGACATACTGCATCCCACACAACACACTACATCATTGACATACTGCATCCCACACAACACACTACATCAATGACATACTGCATCCCACACAACACACTACATCAATGCCAAACTGCATTCCACACAACACACTACATCAATGACATACTGCATCCCACACAACACACTACATCAATGACATACTGCATCCCACACAACACACTACATCAATGCCATACTGCATTCCACACAACACACTACATCAATGACATACTGCATCCCACACAACACACTACATCAATGACATACTGCATCCCACACAACACACTACATCATTGACATACTGCATCCCACACAACACACTACATCATTGACATACTGCATCCTACACAACACACTACATCAATGACATACTGCATCCTACACAACACACTACATCATTGACATACTGCATCCCACACAACACACTACATCATTGACATACTGCATCCTACACAACACACTACATCATTGACATACTGCATCCCACACAACACTCTACATCAATGCCATACTGCATCCCACACAACACACTACATCATTGACATACTGCATCCCACACAACACACTACATCAATGACATACTGCATCCTACACAACACACTACACCATTGACATACTGCATCCCACACAACACACATCATCAATTCCATACTGCATTCCACACAACACACTACATCATTGAAATACTGCATCCCACACAACACACTACATCAATGCCATACTGCATTCCACACAACACACTACATCAATGACATACTGCATCCCACACAACACACTACATCAATGACATACTGCATCCCACACAACACACTACATCAATGACATACTGCATTCCACACAACACACTACATCATTGACATACTGCATCCCACACAACACACTACATCATTGACATACTGCATCCCACACAACACACTACATCATTGACATACTGCATCCCACACAACACACTACATCATTGACATACTGCATCCAACACAACACACTACATCATTGACATACTGCATTCCACACAACACACCACATCAATGACATACTGCATCCCACACAACACACTACATGATTGACATACTGCATCCCACACAACACACTACATCATTGACATACTGCATCCCACACAACACACTACATCATTGACATACTGCATCCCACGCAACCCACATCATCAATTCCATACTGCATTCCACACAACACACTACATCAATGACATACTGCATCCCACACAACACACTACAGCATTGACATACTGCATCCCACAAAACACACTACATCAATGACATACTGCATCCCACACAACACACTACATCAATGACATACTGCATCCCACACAACACACTACATCAATGCAATACTGCATTCCACACAACACACTACATCATTGACATACTGCATCCCACACAACACACTACATCAATGACGTACTGCATTCCACACAACACACTACATCATTGACATACTGCATCCCACACAACACACTACATCAATGACAAACTGCATCCCACACAACACACTACATCATTGACATACTGCATCCCACACAACAAACTACATCAATGACATACTGCATTCCACACAACACACTACATCAATGACATACTGCATCCCACACAACACACTACATCATTGACATACTGCATCCCACACAACACACTACATCAATGCCATAGTGCATTCCACACAACACACTACATCAATGACATACTGCATCCCACAAAACACACTACATCAATGCCATACTGCATTCCACACAACACACTACATCAATGACATACTGCATCCCACACAACACACTACATCATTGACATACTGCATCCCACACAACACACTACATCAATGCCATAGTGCATTCCACACAACACACTACATCAATGACATACTGCATCCCACAAAACACACTACATCAATGCCATACTGCATTCCACACAACACACTACATCAATGACATACTGCATCCCACACAACACACTACATCATTGACATACTGCATCCCACACAACACACTACATCAATGCCATAGTGCATTCCACACAACACACTACATCAATGACATACTGCATCCCACAAAACACACTACATCATTGACATACTGCATTCAACACAACACACCACATCATTGACATACTGCATCCCACACAACACACTACATCAATGACATACTGCATCCTACACTACACACTACATCATTGACATACTGCATCCCACACAACAAACAACATCATTGACATACTGCATCCCACACAACACACTACATCAATGCCATACTGCATTCCACACAACACACTACATCATTGACATACTGCATCCCACACAACACACTACATCATTGACATACTGCATCCCACACAACACACTACATCAATGACATACTGCATCCCACACAACACATTACATCATTGAAATACTTCATTCCACACAACACACTACATCAATGACATACTGCATCCCACACAACACACTACATCATTGACATACTGCATCCCACACAACACACTACATCAATGACATACTGCATTCCACACAACACACTACATGATTGACATACTGCATTCCACACAACACACTACATCAATGATATACTGCGTCCCACACAACACACTACATCAATGCCATACTGCATTCCACACAACACACTACATCAATGACATACTGCATCCCACACAACACACTACATCATTGACATACTGCATCCCACACAACACACTACTTCAATGACATACTGCATCCCACACAACACACTACATCAATGACATACTGCATCCCACACAACACACTACATCAATGACATACTGCATCCCACACAACACACTACATCATTGACATACTGCATCCCACACAACACGCTACATCAATGACATACTGCATCCCACACAACACACTACATCATTGACATACTGCATCCCACACAACACACTACATCAATGACATACTGCACAGGTGTTCACAAACAATGTAACAACATGGATTTTTCTTGATGTTGGTGACAGTGTTTTCCTGAGTTAAAGTATTATGGATCTGTGTTGACAAATGGATATTGAGGTAGATCGACAGTATCAAACTTGAGGTCAAAGATCAATAACATGCTTGTGACCTGTTTCTCTACTAATAATGAAGACCTATTTTTACATTGTCAGCACTATTGGTATGTCCATATGTTGCCACCAATGGTTTATTGGTAATCATATTTAGAAAATGAATCAGTTTCCCTTCTCATGAAATATGTGTAAATCCTCCGTACTCCAAACATGAAAACAACTCTCTCAGTTCGCTCCACAGCTTTACACACAACCAAAAAAACAAATAACTGGTTACATGAAAGACAATTCTGTGAGTATTAGTCCAATAAGTCCTGGTCTGCACAAACAAATATCCAAAATAGTTTCAGGAAACATTCCATCTGACACAGCTTGATTCCCTCTTGAGGTATAGTGGTCCAAGGTGTTGGTCCAAATCACAAGTGGACAATAATCTCAAATTATCCATGATTCTGGTAGCATCCTCACTATGTTTGCAGGTAATATGACAGGCAAAATATTATTATTCCCCGCCACAAAGTTTTAGTGTTTTTGTTTCTAAAAAAGCGAAACTATAAGGTGGAAATGATAAATAGGAATCAACACTTGTGTTTTTTTAGTATGGGTAATTTTAACCTCGTCTATTTCAGTATAATCAGTATTTTCTGATTGACTGACACTTGTTTGATATTCCCAATATGCAAAAAAGACCTTATGTACAGTCGGACCCAGTAATCTCGAATATATTGATAGCTTAGGCCTATTCTCTGGACCGACTGCCTCACTATATCAATACATATTGATTTGCCTCATATCTGGAATTCGAGGTGTAAATACATAGTGCTATCTGGACCCTTGACTTTAGTACAGTAGAGTTTTGTACTTTTATCTCCAAGATGATATGTGCCACTTAAACAGTTTTGAAAGGCGCAAATTTGTATTGCACATAGCAGTGAACGATTCTCCTACATATTTCTAGTACCCTTCCTCACACCATCATCTAACATCGCTGTAAGGGTGCTAATCAAAGTTGGATTGAAGGAATCAAATCTGTGTGAGCTACTCACGATATATGAATGGTGAATTAACAAGATTGGGATGAGAGTGACACTTTGTTTTTTTATCAAGTGGACAGTAGAAAGGAACTTCAATTTGTCATTGCAAACACATGTTGTGTTCTTAACTTCTCGTGTGTGCAATCATATTGCTATGGATCTATGATACTGTTACTTGATGTGTCTTGCTGTCTATGCCTCACAATCTCTGAAGTCCGGATATCTCTAAGTTATGGTCAACATGGTCCCGCTAGGTTTGAGATACTGGGGTCTGACTATATATAACTGTCAGCTGACCTGTTATATACCTGGTGAGCAACAGAACATAAGTGCTTTTTTAATGATGTTCATCTTTAATTCTCAGCAATCTGGGCTCAAAGAGAAAGAAAAGGAAGAAACAGCCATTATCTCCTGAGCACAATGTTGTCCGCAGCACTTCTGGTAAGTTTTCAGGGCGAAGAACAGGTCCCCAGTACCCCTTGCAGGTATCTCCCTGGGGTTTGCAGGGTAAGAACAAGTCCCAAGGTACCCCTTGCTTGTATCTCCCTGGGGTTTTCAGGGTAAGAACAGGTCCCCAGTACCCCTTGCTTGTATCTCCATGGGGTTTGCAGGGTAAGAACAAGTCCCAAGGTACCCCTTGCTTGTATCTCCCTGGGGTTCTCAAGGGAAGAACAAGTCCCCAGTACCCCTTGCAGGTATCTCCCTGTGGTTTTCAGGGTAAGAACAGGTCCCCAGTACCCCTTGCTTGTATCTCCCTGGGGTTTTCAGGGGAAGAACAGGTCCCCAGTACCCCTTGCAGGTATCTCCCTGGGGTTTTCAGGGTAAGAACAAGTCCCCAGTACCCCTTGCTTGTATCTCCCTGGGGTTTTCAGGGGAATTCGAAGAACAACTCCCCAGTATCCCTTGCAGGTATCTCCCTGGGGTTTTCAGGGTAAGAACAAGTCCCCAGTACCCCTTGCAGGTATCTCCCTGGGGTTTTCAGGGGAAGAACAGGTCCCCAGTACCCCTTGCTTGTATCTCCCTGGGGTTTTCAGGGGAAGAACGGGTCCCCAGTACCCCTTGCAGGTATATCCCTGGGGTTTTCAGGGTAAGAACAGGTCCCCAGTACCCCTTGCTTGTATCTCCCTGGGGTTTTCAGGGTAAGAACAGGTCCCCAGTTCCCCTTGCAGGTATCTCCCTGGGGTTGTCAGGGTAAGAACAAGTCCCCAGTATCCCTTGCAGGTATCTCCCTGGGGTTTTCAGGGTAAGAACAAGTCCCCAGTACCCCTTGCTTGTATCTCCCTGGGGTTTTCAGGGTAAGAACAGGTCCCCAGTACCCCTTGCAGGTATCTCCCTCGGGTTTTCAGGGTAAGAACAAGTCCCCAGTACCCCTTGCAGGTATCCCCCTGGGGTTTTCAGGGTAAGAACAGGTCCCCAGTACCCCTTGCAGGTATCTCCCTTGGGTTTGCAGGACGAAGAACATGTCCCCAGTACCCCTTGCTTGTATCTCCCTGGGGTTATCAGGGTAAGAACAGGTCCCATGTACCCCTTGCAGGTATCTCCCTGGGGTTTTCAGGGTAAGAACAAGTCCCCAGTACCCCTTGCTTGTATCTCCCTGGTGTTTTCAGGGTAAGAACAGGTCCCGAGTACCCCTTGCAGGTATCTCCCTTGGGTTTGCAGGAAGAAGAACAAGTCCCCAGTACCCCTTGCAGGTATCTCCCTGGGGTTGTCAGGGTAAGAACAAGTCCCCAGTACTCCTTGCAGGTATCTCCCTGGGGTTTTCAGGGTAAGAACAAGTCCCCAGTACCCCTTGCAGGTATCTCCCTGGGGTTTTCAGGGTAAGAACAAGTCCCCAGTACCCCTTGCAGGTATCTCCCTTGGGTTTGCAGGACGAAGAACAAGTCCCCAGTACCCCTTGCAGGTATCTCCCTGGGGTTTTCAGGGTAAGAACAGGTCCCCAGTACCCCTTGCAGGTATGTCCCTGGGGTTTTCAGGGTAAGAACAAGTCCCCAGTACCCCTTGCAGGTAACTCCCTGGGGTTTTCAGGGGAAGAACAAGTCCCCAGTACCCCTTGCAGGTATCTCCCTGGGGTTTTCAGGGGAAGAACAGGTCCCCAGTACCTCTTGCTTGTATCTCCATGGGGTTTTCAGGGTAAGAACAGGTCCCCAGTACCCCTTGCAGGTATCTCCCTTGGGTTTTCAGGGTAAGAACAGGTCCCCAGTACCCCTTGCAGGTATCTCCCTGGGGTTTTCAGGGTAATAACAGGTCCCCAGTACCTCTTGCTTGTATCCCCCTGGGGTTTTCAGGGTAAGAACAAGTCCCCAGTACCCCTTGCTTGTATCTCCCTGGGGTTTTCAGGGGAAGAACAAGTCCCTAGTACTCCTTGCAGGTATCTCCCTGGGGTTTTCAGGGTAAGAACAAGTCCCCAGTACCCCTTGCTTGTATCTCCATGGGGTTTTCAGGGGAAGAACAAGTCCCCAGTACCCCTTGCTTGTATCTCCATGGGGTTTGCAGGGGAAGAACAAGTCCCCAGTACCCCTTGCTTGTATCTCCCTGGGGTTTGCAGGGGAAGAACAAGTCCCCAGTACCCCTTGCAGGTATCTCCCTGGGGTTTTCAGGGGAAGAACAAGTCCCCAGTACCCCTTGCTTGTATCTCCCTGGGGTTTTCAGGGGAAGAACAGGTCCCCAGTACCCCTTGCTTGTATCTCCCTGGGGTTTTAAGGGTAAGAACAGGTCCCCAGTACCCCTTGCAGGTATCTCCCTGGGGTTTTCAGGGTAAGAACAGGTCCCCAGTACCCCTTGCTTGTATCTCCCTGGGGTTTTCAGGGGAAGAACAGGTCCCCAGTACCCCTTGCTTGTATCTCCCTGGGGTTTTCAGGGTAAGAACAAGTCCCCAGTACCTCTTGCTTGTATCTCCATGGGGTTTTTAGGGTAAGAACAAGTCCCCAGTACCCCTTGCAGGTATCTCCCTGGGGTTTTCAGGGTAAGAACAAGTCCCCAGTACCCCTTGCAGGTATCTCCCTGGGCTTTTCAGGGCGAAGAAGAAATTCCCAGGACCCCTTGCAGGTATCTCCCTGGGGTTTTCAGGGGAATTCGAAGAACAAGTCCCCAGTACCCCTTGCTTGTATCTCCCTGGGGTTTTCAGGGGAAGAACAGGTCCCCAGTACCCCTTGCTTGTATCTCCCTGGGGTTTTCAGGGGAAGAACAGGTCCCCAGTACCCCTTGCTTGTATCTCCCTGGGGTTTTCAGGGGAAGAACAGGTCCCCAGTACCCCTTGCTTGTATCTCCCTGGGGTTTTCAGGGGAATTCGAAGAACAGGTCCCCAGTACCCCTTGCTTGTATCTCCCTGGGGTTTTCAGGGGAAGAACAGGTCCCCAGTACCCCTTGCTTGTATCTCCCTGGGGTTTTCAGGGGAAGAACAGGTCCCCAGTACCCCTTGCAGGTATCTCCCTTGGGTTTGCAGGGGAATTCGAAGAACAGGTCCCCAGTACCCCTTGCTTGTATCTCCCTGGGGTTTTCAGGGGAATTCGAAGAACAGGTCCCCAGTACCCCTTGCAGGTATCTCCCTGGGGTTTTCAGGGGAAGAACAGGTCCCATGTACCCCTTGCTTGTATCTCCCTGGGGTTTTCAGGGGAAGAACAGGTCCCCAGTACCCCTTGCTTGTATCTCCCTGGGGTTTTCAGGGTAAGAACATGTCCCCAGTACCCCTTGCTTGTATCTCCCTGGGGTTTTCAGGGGAAGAACAAGTCCCCAGTACCCCTTGCTTGTATCTCCCTGGGGTTTTCAGGGGAAGAACAAGTCCCCAGTACCCCTTGCAGGTATCTCCCTGGGGTTTTCAGGGGAAGAACAAGTCCCCAGTACCCCTTGCTTGTATCTCCCTGGGGTTTTCAGGGGAAGAACAGGTCCCCAGTACCCCTTGCTTGTATCTCCCTGGGGTTTTCAGGGTAAGAACACATCCCCAGTACCCCTTGCAGGTATCTCCCTGGGGTTTTCAGGGGAATTCGAAGAACAGGTCCCCAGTACCCCTTGCAGGTATCTCCCTGGGGTTTTCAGGGTAAGAACAAGTCCCCAGTACCCCTTGCTTGTATCTCCCTGGGGTTTTCAGGGTAAGAACAAGTCCCCAGTACCCCTTGCAGGTATCTCCCTGGGCTTTTCAGGGCGAAGAAGAAATTCTCAGGACCCCTTGCAGGTATCTCCCTGGGGTTTTCAGGGGAATTCGAAGAACAGGTCCCCAGTACCCCTTGCTTGTATCTCCCTGGGGTTTTCAGGGGAAGAACAGGTCCCCAGTACCCCTTGCTTGTATCTCCCTGGGGTTTTCAGGGGAAGAACAGGTCCCCAGTACCCCTTGCAGGAATCTCCCTGGGTTTTTTTCAGGGTAAGAACATGTCCCCAGTACCCCTTGCAGGTATCTCCCTGGGGTTTTCAGGGTTAGAACATGTCCCCAGTACCCCTTGCAGGTATCTCCCTGGGGTTTTCAGGGGAAGAACAAGTCCCCAGTACCCCTTGCTTGTATCTCCCTGGGGTTTTCAGGGGAAGAACAGGTCCCCTAGTACCCCTTGCAGGTATCTCCCTGGGGTTTTCAGGGGAAGAACAAGTCCCCAGTACCCCTTGCTTTTATCTCCCTGGGGTTTTCAGGGGAAAAACAAGTCCCCAGTATCCCTTGCAGGTATCTCCCTTGGGTTTGCAGGGGAAGAACAGGTCCCCAGTACCCCTTGCTTACATCTCCCTGGGGTTTTCAGGGGAAGAACAAGTCCCCAGTATCCCTTGCTTGTATCTCCCTGGGGTTTTCAGGGGAAGAACAGGTCCCCAGTACCCCTTGCAGGAATCTCCATGGGGTTTTCAGGGGAAGAACATGTCCCCCATTGTTAATGTGTACTTTGCAAGTAACTCTCTATCTGTTTCTCCTGCCCTTGTCTTCACAGAGCCATGTGACAAGCAGGTAGAAGAAATTAAGGAACTCAAGCTACGGATCCCTCGGGTCTCCAAGTATGTATGTAAAACATATATGTGTATCTTGTATACAGAAATGTAGTACACAGTCATACACAACTTCAGTCAAAGATTCTGTGAACATGGTACGATACATATCCCCAAATGCCTATATTCTAAGCCTTAGCTACATCAAGATAGAATGTGAATATGAACAGAACCATTTAATTGTGGATTAGTTTGGTTCAGAGAAGCTTTCACACTCTTTAGTAGTAGTGAACTAAATATTACCATTTCTTTCTCTTCGTTTTCATAGGTGAAGTAGCCTAGTGCTGTGTTGCCTTTATGCTGAAAACCTTGGTTTAATTCTGCACATTGGTAAATTGTGTGAAGCCAACTGACACTTGCACCAGGGTATTACTGGAGCATTGCTTCCCATGACATTACGCCATAACTCGCACAGCAGAACTCTGATTTGAACGTTGTCTTTCCCTTTACAGCATATGTATATTGTCCAAAGCAGGTCAGTTCAGCACTTCCATGTAAGCCAGGCTGGAAACATACTCGTACCATAAACTTTCTTTTAATTTGACAGATTACGTCGCGAGGGCTGCAGCAGCATGGAGAACCTGACTGAGCTGGAAACTGTGGAAGAAGAAGGGTAAGAGGGTGTGGCCTTCGAGGGAGGGTCCAAATGGGGGGGCATCTCTCTCACATTTCTAGATGTTTGGTATTCTCTTTTCCTCTATGTTTGTCATGCCATACTTTGTAAAGTTTAGTACGAGTACCTCCTAGTTTATTGCAGCTAGATACTTTAATATGGTGGGTTAATGTCTCTTGTTACCATTTAGCAATGAGGAACTGAATAAATGGAAATTTCAAGCCTACATGCATCAGTATGAAAATGACATCCATGTGATATTCACTTATCATATCATGTGTGTTTTAGCATGAATGTAGTGCTTCTGAAGTATATCTGCTTGTTATGCCTACTGACCTATTGTTGATCTGTGTGATGAAGCCAGTAACACCAGTAGGCTCTGATAACTGGGTCACATACTAGTCAGCAATATGGCAATTAGCCAGGCTTGGGTGGCAGTTTAACTGTGCAAGCACATTCTTTTGTGAAACTGTTGTGAGCATTTCTCCCACCAGTCTCCTTGAAGGTGGATTTAACCTCCAAAATAATCAGAACACCATTCCACAAAGCGAGCACAGGACCACTACTGTGACAGCTCCCGTTCTTGAATATAGGTGTATGATCATCTTGGCACCCGTTCAACTTTGTTGGATGTGTAAATGTCACCACTTGAACAGAGGTGTCGGTGCTTGTATTCTATGAAAATGACTTCCCTGTGACATGGTTAGACAACAGCAGACATTTTGTTACCCAGGTAGTGTTTATTTCAGGCTCCACAGTACTGCCAGTTACTCAGATTTTCTTGACATTCAGTCATGCATGAGGTAGGTGGTCAGATGACCTTGGTGAAGGGTAGACAACTCTACTAACCCAACTTCTTCAGCATTAAGTCAAGCCATGCATTCTAATCTACCTTGCACATGTTGAGCATTCTGATCATCAGCACACAACCTCCTGAACTTGTTAAACTACAGCAAATGTTAAGGTACCATCGTGTCAGTCATCTCTTGTCTTAGGCAAAACACATTTCAGTTGTGATGGGTACACTCTCCGTTGTTAATGTCAGTTTCGTTACGACAAAATGTTGATGCATTGATGAATGGAGTCCTCTTTAGACATGAAATTGGTCATTTGTACGTCTAGGGCTGTAAGAAAACAATGTCTGTATGAGGTGGTGCATTGCATTTGGGTAGGGCCAAACATATTCAAGTAATAGTTTCAGTATAACTGGTATGAAACATTTTAAGTTCCAGTAAATCATCAGTTTAATCACAAGTGAAGAGTGATGAGAATAGTTGAAACATGTATGTGTGATTTGAACTGTTCCAAATGACATCTGTCCATCACGTGTGAACACTTGCAGATCCAGTTTAGCTCCAAGAGCTGCCTCCATTTGCTAACTTCCCTGTCAGAGTAGTCATGTCATAATTCCCTCCCTACCATCTTCCCGAGGCAAGGGAGTGAACTGACTATAAAAGTCCAGTTTCCACCCTTGCCAAACAAGGCTGGAATTATGGTGTTATATTTGGGCTGGACTAACAAGTCTATGCATAGTTCAATCAAAATTCAAAATCGCCGACTGATTGCAGGATTTGCAGAGCATGTTTACCATCAACTGGCGAATGACATTTATTTTCCAAATCTTTTCATGTTTTTAATGAAGGAGTTCAAATGATTTGATGCTTATCACGAGGTAAGACCCATTTTATTATGATAAAGGTCTTGATTATTGATCAGATTATCGTGACTGGGTGCCGCCATTTTGTTTGAAGTAAATGCAAGTGACATCAGTGGAGGAATCTGATTGGTCAATAGGAGGGACATAGAAGGGGAATATAACATATTTTAGCCACTCTTGGTGTCACATTCGAGCCATTAAATACCAGCCTGGTTCGTCAAGGGTGGGAACTCGACTTTTACAGTCAGTTAGCTCCCTTGCCTCAAGAAGATGCTCCCTATGTGTCCCTAACTTGCCCAAGTACTGCTTATGGCTTGTTGCACTTGACTTGTTTCTTGCTTTCCACATAGATGTGTATGGGACTTCCAACTTTTGAAGTGCTAAAATCATAGCTAAGTATAAGAGAAGGCCTATATTCTGTTTGCTTCAGTACCTGACATGTAATGTGTGGGGAGAGTGAGAGAACTAAAAGTGAGAGAGTGCAAGGGGTTTATATATGCTACTGTTGGACCTATCTAATCCCTACAACAGAATATGTGTGCATGCCTGCCTACCTGCGTGAGTGCATGTGTGCACATGTGTGAGTGCATGTGTGCACATGTGTGAGTGCATGTGTGCACATGTGTCTGTGCAGGCGTGTGCATATGTGAATGCACATGTGCAGGACATGTTGTGAGAGAGGTTAACTCTACCATGGCTCTACATGTAGAGTCAGGTTCAAGCAGAACTAATGTTTTACTTAAAATAAGGATATCTGCTGTTCTGTATTTAATACCAAACTTTGTGTGAGGTAAGTATTCCAAAGCTTCTTATTATTTTAACTGTTTCAATTGCCGTGCATTCTCTGGTGCTTGTCTGACCTACGTAGAAACCAGCTGAGTCCATACTTTACTCGAATCAGATGCCAGATAGAGAAGTCTCCCAGCTTTAATTTCATGAACAGTAAACTGTGTTGATAATGAACACGCTTATGACAAACTGACGGACATGGCCAACATATTTTTTGGTCCTGGCCATTAGCTGTATATATATGCTTAAAACGAACAACATTTACATCAAACTAAAATCTGTGGTCCCTTTGAGTTGGTTATAACCGTGTACTTTACTGTATCAAGGTATTTGTGTTTTCACTGTGTTAATGTTCAGTCACATGGATGAAACCTCCATCTTAATGGAGACATCAGAACATCTACAAGTCAGTTTGTGTGTATATTTAGGTATTATGTTCTATTCATACATTACTATGGAGCCATGCCGTCACATAGAGAGATTACAGTTAAGGAACGGTTTTGCACACCTCTTATTCAATTTTGCCTTCATTGAAGTAATAAGTGCCCTGTCATAAAATGGGAACTATTTTACTTTGTTGGATTTAAACTGCTGTAACGGGGCATCTAACAATGTCCTTAAGACAGCGACAAAGTATGCAGACAAAGATTGACTTTATAAGGTACATTAGCTGGTTGAAATATAAATGGCAAGTGATGACAAGTACCCTGTCTCCTGGCCACTTCAAGAAACTAGCACTGTTGCATTATGGAAGAAGACATTTTACTGTCACATTGCATTGTTTTTCCTCAAGTTAAAAAAGCCAGAAACACTGGTTGATGTTACTCTTAATCAACAAAGTCTCTTTAATCAAAGGATGACCCTGCCTGCTATCTTATATCATAAATAGAGATTATTATATGAGCATGTATGTCATACAAACTGAGTGTCAGAATAACTGTATTCCATAGCAAGAACAAGGGTAGTACATGAAATCTTCTGACACTATGACCTGTGGTTCCGAGACGGGTGACCAGTGTCCTGTGTTTCCAAGATTGGTGACCTGGTACCGCTGTCTATAAGTCTTGGTGTTGTCTCTGTGAGTCAGTCTGTGTGGTCGTAGGTGTTCATTCTCTTCTTCAAATCTACCACACTTACAGGGGGGATGCTGGTCGTAAACGATGTTTCTCTGAGCGGCTGCGACGCTCCGCCAGGTATGTGTGGTCACATGGTCTGTCAGTCTGGGCATGTCCGCATGGATGTTCTCCTGCCTCCCTCTCCTACTCTCGCTTGATTCACAGTATTACCACATTACCAAGACCTTAGCAGTTGATAGAAGTACACAGTAATATAACTTTGCACCAGAGGACATTTGTTGTACATATAATTTTCTATGTATGCATTATGACAGCTTTGTATGTTGTATCTATAGTAGAGTAGAGAACCCTTCAGTTTTTTGGGACTATGCTTCTGTATGTATGTGTGGGCTCACATTATGTAGAATAGACTTGGTGAGTAAGGTGGTATATTTTAAGTGTTGCAATGCTGAAGTTCTGTTTAATTGTAGATAGAATGTGTCTCCGCGTACTGTCAAGAAGTGATGGGTATATAACTGTAAGTCTGGTGGCTGTCGTGTAGTGGTTGTGTATAGTGCTTACAAAGTGCAGTGTACAACCCCTGTGTGATCACAGTATGGGATGATTAACCTGCATAATTGGTGTGCTGGGTTGCACAAGCTCGGGAGCTTATATCTGCTGTAATTCATGCCAGTATTGCTTAGAATATTGATCTGAAACCATGTAGTAAGGGACTGATCATTTACTATAGATGGATGGTTGTGGTGGGATGGAGGTACGGGGTGTCCAGTGTGATTGGTCTCAGGACTGTATCATATTTTGCCGACCTCCACACACACCCCATTGTATGTAACATTTTTCCATGCCTCCACCCCCCACCCCACCCCCTTCAAATACATGTAACATTCCCCCCACCCCCTTATAATTTACCACACCCTTAATATAAATCATGTTCAAATTTATAATTTAGTTTTTTGAAAAAATAGAACTGTCATTTTTTCATGCCCTCTGCCCCTGATAAAGTTTGGCTACCTCCATCTTACGCTGACTTTTTATCATGATAATCCACCCTCATCCCCACCCCGACCCCCACCCACCCACCCTCACACCCTCCCTTTAATAAGTGACCAGTCCCTAACACATATATATTAAAGATACATTTACATATAAGGTTAATAGCTAGTTTGACAACTCCTTCAAGGGATTCGTTATGGCCAAATATATAGACCGTTCAGGCAGAGGTGAGTTGCTTGTGATATACTTCTGTTGAGCTGTAGTTTTGTGGTTTAGAGAAGCTAACCTGATCTTCCTTTCAGTGGGAAATGTTCCTTGTTTGCATGTGTTTATTTGAGTTTCCTTGTTTTCTTCTTCCTAATTTGTAAAGACCAATGACTTGCTGGCTGACCTCTCTTGTATCTTGCAGAGAGCAAGCTTCATGTGTTTGTAGAAGCAGTTGTGTAACATCTATAGCATGTTTTTGTTTACTTTTGTTGCAGGTCACTGTCCCCGTCCCCCACACGTAGCCGTTCTCCCAGGTATCTCTCCAAAGCGTCGTCATGTGCGATGCCCCCCTCCTCCTTCACTGGGCTCATGCTCAGCTTGCATGATGCTCCTCACAGATCAGTCCAGTAAAATGTCCAAACAATCAAACTTTATCAGTGAAAACACAAATAAAAATTCTCTCAAATTGTTGTGTTGACATAGGTTGTCACTTGTTTGAGATAATATTTATGTTTTGGCCTGTCAGTGATCTGTGGGGCTAGTGATACCAGATGACCCACCACCAAGCACCTAGCGTAGTTCTGTTTCAGTTTGGTGATGGCCATTTCATTTAGTGCCGAGATCCTCTCTCTCTGCCTTTCATCGGACTCTCTCTGGACTTCTCTCCATCACATTGCACAGTGGGGCTAACTCACAGAGATCTGATGCTCTGTGAAACATGCTGTACTGTAAAGTACTCATTCATAGTTCATAAATCTGTGGGATTGGGATGTATACAATGGTTATAACCTCATTGCAGAAATACTTTTTTTTGTGAAGATTCAAGTTTTAACAAGAAACAGAACTTATTTATTCAGAATGAGTGATTTCTCAGTGTTTTAACAGTGGGGATCAGTGTAAAGACCTCTTTGTTGATGGGTTTCCTGCTTTACCACAGCCGTTGCGGCCGTTGTCTAAAAAAACAATATATCATTTAAAATAAAGGTCAACAGTACACACTAATAGTCAAATGGTATGAATAAAGTATTAAATGTAACTAAAAAAGGTAAAAAAAAATACAAAACAAGTAGACGCCTTATGGAAGAAAGAACAATGTGTACTAAAAAATGTTGGTGCATACAAAAGGACACCATATGCTGAAGAACAACGTTGACAATAAAGACAGCCAGATGGCACTGCAATTTGTACGATATTCTGAGTTTAATCAGATTGTGGTGCTGTGTATATAATAATATTGGCAATGAGCAACACGACACAGAGGTGCACAATGTATTATGTTATTCCTTGTGTACCCACTGAACAATGTCATATACATGTTACGATTATTTCCAACCTTTAGTCATTGTCACCAGGAAAGCAGGACATTTTGAAACATATTTTCTTGTTTGTGTTATGTTGGAAATCTGACAGATGTGGAAGCCTCATGCAGAACAAGCCAAATTAACTCTGAATGTTGTAAAAATTGCAGTCCAGTCTGGCGTTCCTTATTATCACCATTGTTCTTCAGCATTGGTGTACTTTTGTGTGCACCATGTTCTTTAGTACACATTGTTCTTTCTCTCATATAGCGTCTGTTTGTGTTTTGTCATTTATAAGTACATTTAATACTTCATTTGTAACATTTGACTATTATTGCGCACTTCAGACCTTTATTTTAACTGATGTTATTTGCTCCTGAACCACTAGTTAAAAAACAACTTCACAAACAGGTCTCATTTTTTGCACATTAATTGTAGCTATTCCTTATTTCTTAAATGTTTTTTTGTTGTGAATCTTTGAGTCAGGCAGTATATAAAATGGATTTGTTTCATTACTTGTGTGCTGGCAGTTCTATGTGCTTTGTGCTTGTAGAGTAGTGTCTTGGCTGCTCCTCTCATCTGCCTAATGTGTATCACGTTTAAATCTACATTGTCATAAATAATGTTCAACTTGTGGACTGGAAGTCAGTTTCTTTTGTTAATGTTTTTCTTGCTCAAAACATTGAACTTATATATTGTTGATTTTGACAGAGCAAATTAATTTGATTCCATTGCTGTGAATACCGGCACATGATATGTGTCACCTAGCCCAGGCTCTCAGGCTAGTATTGTAGTGATGTGGCCAGTGTGTATCTCCTAGCCCAGGCTCCCAGGCTAGTATTGTGGTGATGTGGCCAGTGTGTATCTCCTGCCTAGGTTCTCAGGCTAGTATTGTGGTGATGTGGCCAGTGTGTATCTCCTAGCCCAGGCTCCCAGGCTAGTATTGTGGTGATGTGGCCAGTGTGTATCTCCTGCCAAGGTTCCCAGGCTAGTATTGTGGTGATGTGGCCAGTGTGTGCCTCCTGCCTAGGTTCCCAGGCTAGTATTGTTGTGATGTGGCCAGTGTGTATCTCTTATCCCAGGCTCCAAGGCTAGTATTGTGGTGATGTGGCCAGTGTGTATCTCCTAGCCCAGGTTCCCAGGCTAGTATTGTGGTGATGTGGCCAGTGTGTATCTCCTGCCTAGGTTCTCAGGCTAGTATTGTTGTGATGTGGCCAGTGTGTATCTCCTGCCTAGGTTCCCAGGCTAGTATTGTGGTGATGTGGCCAGTGTGTATCTCCTAGCCCAGGCACCCAGGCTAGTATTGTGGTGATGTGGCCAGTGTGTATCTCCTAGCCCAGGCTCCCAGGCTAGTATTGTTGTGATGTGGCCAGTGTGTATCTCCTAGCCCAGGCTCCCAGGCTAGTATTGTGGTGATGTGGCCAGTGTGTATCTCCTAGCCCAGGCTCCCAGGCTAGTATTGTGGTGATGTGGCCAGTGTGTATCTCCTGCCAAGGTTCCCAGGCTAGTATTGTGGTGATGTGGCCAGTGTGTGCCTCCTGCCTAGGTTCCCAGGCTAGTATTGTTGTGATGTGGCCAGTGTGTATCTCTTATCCCAGGCTCCAAGGCTAGTATTGTGGTGATGTGGCCAGTGTGTATCTCCTAGCCCAGGTTCCCAGGCTAGTATTGTGGTGATGTGGCCAGTGTGTATCTCCTGCCTAGGTTCTCAGGCTAGTATTGTTGTGATGTGGCCAGTGTGTATCTCCTGCCTAGGTTCCCAGGCTAGTATTGTGGTGATGTGGCCAGTGTGTATCTCCTAGCCCAGGCACCCAGGCTAGTATTGTGGTGATGTGGCCAGTGTGTATCTCCTGCCTAGGCTCCCAGGCTAGTATTGTGGTGATGTGGCCAGTGTGTATCTCCTAGCCCAGGCTCCCAGGCTAGTATTGTTGTGATGTGGCCAGTGTGTATCTCCTAGCCCAGGCTCCCAGGCTAGTATTGTGGTGATGTGGCCAGTGTGTATCTCCTAGCCCAGGCTCCCAGGCTAGTATTGTTGTGATGTGGCCAATGTGTATCTCCTAGCCCAGGCTCCCAGGCTAGTATTGTGGTGATGTGGCCAGTGTGTATCTCTTATCCCAGGCTCCCAGGCTAGTATTGTGGTGATGTGGCCAGTGTGTATCTCCTGCCTAGGTTCCCAGGCTAGTATTGTGGTGATGTGGCCAGTGTGTATCTCCTGCCTAGGTTCCCAGGCTAGTATTGTGGTGATGTGGCCAGTGTGTATCTCCTAGCCCAGGTTCCCAGGCTAGTATTGTGGTGATGTGGCCAGTGTGTATCTCTTATCCCAGGCTCCAAGGCTAGTATTGTGGTGATGTGGCCAGTGTGTATCTCCTGCCTAGGTTCTCAGGCTAGTATTGTTGTGATGTGGCCAGTGTGTATCTCCTGCCTAGGTTCCCAGGCTAGTATTGTGGTGATGTGGCCAGTGTGTATCTCCTAGCCCAGGCTCCCAGGCTAGTATTGTTGTGATGTGGCCAGTGTGTATCTCCTAGCCCAGGCTCCCAGGCTAGTATTGTGGTGATGTGGCCAGTGTGTATCTCCTAGCCCAGGCTCCCAGGCTAGTATTGTTGTGATGTGGCCAATGTGTATCTCCTAGCCCAGGCTCCCAGGCTAGTATTGTGGTGATGTGGCCAGTGTGTATCTCTTATCCCAGGCTCCCAGGCTAGTATTGTGGTGATGTGGCCAGTGTGTATCTCCTGCCTAGGTTCCCAGGCTAGTATTGTGGTGATGTGGCCAGTGTGTATCTCCTGCCTAGGTTCCCAGGCTAGTATTGTGGTGATGTGGCGAGTGTATCTCCTAGCCCAGGCTCCCAGGCTAGTATTGTGGTGATGTGGCCAGTGTGTGTCTCCTGCCTAGGTTCCCAGGCTAGTATTGTGGTGATGTGGCCAGTGTGTATCTCCTAGCCTAGGTTCCCAGGCTAGTATTGTGGTGATGTGGCCAATGTGTGCCTCCTGCCTAGGTTCTCAGGCTAGTATTGTGGTGATGTGGCCAGTGTGTGCCTCCTGCCTAGGTTCTCAGGCTAGTATTGTTGTGATGTGGCCAATGTGTGCCTCCTGCCTAGGTTCTCAGGCTAGTATTGTGGTGATGTGGCCAATGTGTGCCTCCTGCCTAGGTTCCCAGGCTAGTATTGTGGTGATGTGGCCAGTGTGTATCTCCTAGCCTAGGTTCTCAGGCTAGTATTGTGGTGATGTGGCCAATGTGTGCCTCCTGCCTAGGTTCTCAGGCTAGTATTGTGGTGATGTGGCCAGTGTGTATCTCCTAGCCTAGGTTCCCAGGCTAGTATTGTGGTGATGTGGCCAATGTGTGCCTCCTGCCTAGGTTCTCAGGCTAGTATTGTGGTGATGTGGCCAATGTGTGCCTCCTGCCTAGGTTCCCAGGCTAGTATTGTGGTGATGTGGCCAGTGTGTATCTCCTGCCTAGGTTCCCAGGCTGGTATTGTTGTGATGTGGCCAATGTGTGCCTCCTGCCTAGGTTCCCAGGCTAGTATTGTTGTGATGTGGCCAGTGTGTATCTCCTGCCTAGGTTCCCAGGCTAGTATTGTGGTGATGTGGCCAGTGTGTATCTCCTAGCCTAGGTTCTCAGGCTAGTATTGTTGTGATGTGGCCAGTGTGTATCTCCTGCCTAGGTTCCCAGGCTAGTATTGTTGTGATGTGGCCAGTGTGTATCTCCTGCCCTGGTTTCCAGGCTAGTATTGTTGTGATGTGGCCAGTGTGTATATCCTAGCCTAGGTTCTCAGGCTAGTATTGTTGTGATGTGGCCAATGTGTGCCTCCTGCCTAGGTTCTCAGGCTAGTATTGTGGTGATGTGGCCAGTGTGTATCTCCTAGCCTAGGTTCCCAGGCTAGTATTGTGGTGATGTGGCCAATGTGTGCCTCCTGCCTAGGTTCTTAGGCTAGTATTGTGGTGATGTGGCCAATGTGTGCCTCCTGCCTAGGTTCCCAGGTTAGTATTGTGGTGATGTGACCAGTGTGTATCTCCTGCCTAGGTTCCCAGGCTAGTATTGTTGTGATGTGGCCAATGTGTGCCTCCTGCCTAGGTTCCCAGGCTAGTATTGTGGTGATGTGGCCAGTGTGCCTCCTGCCTAGGTTCTCAGGCTAGTATTGTGGTGATGTGGCCAGTGTGTATATCCTGCCTAGGCTCCCAGGCTAGTATTGTGGTGATGTGGCCAGTGTGTATATCCTGCCTAGGCTCCCAGGCTAGTATTGTGGTGATGTGGCCAATGTGTGCCTCCTGCCTAGGTTCTCAGGCTAGTATTGTGGTGATGTGGCCAATGTGTATCTCCTGCCTAGGTTCTCAAGCTAGTATTGTGGTGATGTGGCCAGAGTGTATCTCCTGCCTAGGTTCTCAGGCTAGTATTGTGGTGATGTGGCCAATATGTGCCTCCTGCCTAGGTTCCCAGGCTAGTATTGTGGTGATGTGGCCAATGCGTGCCTCCTGCCTAGGTTCTCAGGCTAGTATTGTGGTGATGTGGCCAATGTGTGCCTCCTGCCTAGGTTCCCAGGCTTGTATTGTGGTGATGTGGCCAGTGTGTATCTCCTAGCCTAGGTTCCCAGGCTAGTATTGTGGTGATGTGGCCAATGTGTGCCTCCTGCCTAGGTTCTCAGGCTAGTATTGTGGTGATGTGGCCAATGTGTGCCTCCTGCCTAGGTTCTCAGGCTAGTATTGTGGTGATGTGGCCAGTGTGTATCTCCTGCCTAGGTTCCCAGGCTAGTATTGTTGTGATATGGCCAATGTGTGCCTCCTGCCTAGGTTCCCAGGCTAGTATTGTGGTGATGTGGCCAGTGTGTATCTCCTGCCTAGGTTCCCAGGCTAGTATTGTGGTGATGTGGCCAGTGTGTATCTCCAAGCCTAGGTTCTCAGGCTAGTATTGTTGTGATGTGGCCAGTGTGTATCTCCTAGCCTAGGCTCCCAGGCTAGTATTGTGGTGATGTGGCCAATGTGTGCCTCCTGCCTAGGTTCTCAGGCTAGTATTGTGGTGATGTGGCCAGTGTATGCCTCCTGCCTAGGTTCTCAGGCTAGTATTGTGGTGATGTGGCCAATGTGTGGCTCCTGCCTAGGTTCTCAGGCTAGTATTGTGGTGATGTGGCCAGTGTGTATCTCCTGCCCAGGTTCCCAGGCTAGTATTGTGGTGATGTGGCCAGTGTGTATCTCCTAGCCTAGGCTCCCAGGCTAGTATTGTGGTGATGTGGCCAGTGTGTATCTCCTGCCTAGGCTCCCAGGCTAGTATTGTGGTGATGTGGACAATGTGTGCCTCCTGCCTAGGTTCCAAGGCTAGTATTGTGGTGATGTGGCCAGTGTGTATCTCCTAGCCCAGGTTCTCAGGCTAGTATTGTGGTGATGTGGCCAGTGTGTATCTCCTGCCTAGGCTCCCAGGCTAGTATTGTGGTGATGTGGCCAGTGTGTATCTCCTGCCTATGCTCCCAGGCTAGTATTGTGTTGTTGTTTCAGTACGGACTCCATCTTGTCCCCGACCAGCACAGTGATGCTATCACCGGACATCGACGTGGACCACAGCTCACATGACAGTTCAACCTCCAGGGAAGGGGGCTTCTTCTTGCTGAGGAAGGACTCGGAGAGGCGCTCCACACTTGTACAGATACTCATTCAAGACACCGAGGAGGTTATCATACAAAGCATACAAAGATTATTGTACAACCCAAAATTGGTTAATCGGTTTTTCCCCTTCTGTGAGATGATTGTACACCCCATTCTGTAAGATGAACAACCCATCATCTGTTATTCCCCTTCGTCTTCGAGAGGGGTGGTCAGGTAGCCTAGTGGTTAAAGCGTTCACTTGTCAGGCCGAGGACCCAGGTTCGATTCCCGACATGGGTACAATGTGAGAACCATTTGTGGTGTTCCCTGCTGTGATATTGCTGGAATATTGCTAAAAGCTGCGAAAATCTCCCTCACGCTTCTGTGACATAATTATACAGTCCATCACTGTAAGATGAACAACCCAACATCACTCTATGTGACCAATAACCTGTTCGTCTTATTCTGTTACAGATCTGTAACCAGTGGCTGTTGCTCCTTCACAGGGATGCCACCATGTCAAATCCGAAACTTGCCACTGTAAGTAGTTGATTGGCATCAAGTTTCAGATATTTTCCAAGGCTTCTAATCTGTAGATATGTACCTGCAGATCTGTACCAAGGACAAGGATTCAAGTCGCAGATATATCCCAAGACTCAGAGTCACACAGGTATATACCAAGACTCAGAGTCACACAGGTATATACCAAGACTCAGAGTCACACAGGTATATCCCAAGACTCAGTCACACAGGTATATCCCAAGACTCAGTCACACAGGTATATACCAAGACTCAGTCACACAGGTATATCCCAAGACTCAGCCACACACGTATATCCCAAGACTCAGTCACACAGGTATATCCCAAGACTCAGTCACACAGGTATATCCCAAGACTCAGTCACACAGGTATAACCCAAGACTCAGTCACACAGGTATATCCCAAGACTCAGTCACACAGGTATATCCCAAGACTTAGAATCACACAGGTATATACCAAGACTCAGAGTCACACAGGTATATACCAAGACTCAGAGTCACACAGGTATATCCCAAGACTCAGAGTCACACAGGTATATACCAAGACTCAGAGTCACACAGGTATATACCAAGACTCAGAGTCACACAGGTATATCCCAAGACTCAGTCACACAGGTATATCCCAAGACTCAGTCACACAGGTATATCCCAAGACTCAGTCACACAGGTATATCCCAAGACTCAGTCACACAGGTATATCCCAAGACTCAGTCACACAGGTATAACCCAAGACTCAGTCACACAGGTATATCCCAAGACTCAGTCACAGAGGTATATCCCAAGACTCAGTCACACAGGTATGTCCCAAGACTCTGAGTGGCACATACATATAACAAATGTCAAAGTCTTACAGGTATATTCCAAGCCTTCAACTCGCAGGTATGTCCCAAGACTCCGAGTCACACAGGTATATACCATTGCTCTGACTGCACAGTTATGAACCCTGACTTTGAGTCACATAGATTTATAACAAAGTTTCTGAGTCACACAGGGACATACCAAGGCTTCTTGGTATACAGATATATACCAAGACTTCTGGTTCTACTGATATATAAGCCACACCAGGAACCTGAAGACAACTGGTGCAAGGACTGATTACATACATTAACATGATTCTGTTACAGGATCATCTCAAGTGCCTGTTGAATGGTATTCGAGGACATATATTGGACCCTAATGTGCGAGCTATCAATACAGCCCTAGGTAGGTGATTTGCTCTCTACCCAGGCTGCTCATTTCTAACTGTTTTACTGTGTAGTTTTACTTTTCTTATACTTGAAGTTGGGTATGGTAATGATGTGATTGTGTACAGTGTTGGAGCATGTGATTTCTGTTACAGATGAGCTGAGAGATAGCCTGACATTTGACCAGACAGCACTGATGGAAATCCAACTAGCTCTCTATGTCTTGCATGAAGCAGTGAGTTTTAATCTGTCATACATGGCCAACAAGGCCTAGGCTCTATATACTACTCTTGAGAAGTATAAGTGTTTAATATCGGGTTGATAGTTTACATGGCCTGTAGTGTGATGTCAACAACTACAGCATCATATCTCAAAATAGTGTTGTCATTCATTACCAACATGGGAAGATAATGAATTGTGTTGATGCAGGTGAGCACATGTCTGAAGACGCACAAGATTCAGCCCCACTGGATGTTTGCCCTGGATGGCTTGGTACGAGGAGCTGTGCAGACCACCCTGGTTATACTGGCTCCAGGTAGGATATGCGGAACAATCTGTACTTGTCATACTGGCTCCAGGGAGGATATGCTGAACAATCTGTACTTGTCATACTGGCTCCAGGTAGGATATGCTGAACAATCTGTACTTGTCATACTGGCTCCAGGTAGGATATGCGGAACAATCTGTACTTGTCATACTGGCTCCAGGCAGGATATGCTGAACAATCTGTTGTTTTGTTGTATTGGCAGAGTTTGATGGTCAAGTGTCAGGAGACCAGATGGAGGATGAGGTAGTCACCTCCGGGGTATCATCTGCCAACTCACTCAAACCGTTGTCGTTCAGGAAGGCAGCTGGTCGGGAACTGCAGTCTGAACTGGAGCATGTGGAGGAGGAGAACTTCAGGTAGGTCCAGGTGTACAGGAGTGTCATGTACTGCCATATGTTGGATACTTACTTAGTGATGGATACTGACTCTTGTCTTGTGTGTGCAGGCTGTTGAAGGAGCTCGTGGAGGTGCAGAGGTCCTACCAGAACCTGCTCCACAGATCCATAGAGGAGAAGAAGTTGCAAGTAGCACATCTCTCGTGAGTTCTAGCCCCCCCCCCCCCCTCCTGTTAATGAGACTTTAGCATCCGTGTGTGATATCAGAGTAAGTTCTAGCCCCCATACTTGTAATTGAGACTTTAGCATCCGTGTGTGATATCAGAGTAAGTTCTAGCCCCCATACTTGTAATTGAGACTTTAGCATCGGTGTGTGATATCAGAGTAAGTTCTAGCCCCCATACTTGTAATTGAGACTTTAGCATCGGTGTGTGATATCAGAGTAAGTTCTAGCCCCCATACTTGTAATTGAGACTTTAGCATCGGTGTGTGATATCAGAGTAAGTTCTAGCCCCCATACTTGTAATTGAGACTATGTCATCCGTGTGTGATATCAGAGTAAGTTCTAGCCCCCATACTTGTAATTGAGACTTTAGCATCGGTGTGTGATATCAGAGTAAGTTCTAGCCCCCATACTTGTAATTGAGACTATGTCATCCGTGTGTGATATCAGAGTGAGTTCTAGCCCCCATACTTGTAATTGAGACTTTAGCATCGGTGTGTGATATCAGAGTAAGTTCTAGCCCCCATACTTGTAATTGAGACTTTAGCATCGGTGTGTGATATCAGAGTAAGTTCTAGCCCCCATACTTGTAATTGAGACTATGTCATCCGTGTGTGATATCAGAGTGAGTTCTAGCCCCCATACTTGTAATTGAGACTTTAGCATCGGTGTGTGATATCAGAGTAAGTTCTAGCCCCCATACTTGTAATTGAGACTTTAGCATCGGTGTGTGATATCAGAGTAAGTTCTAGCCCCCATACTTGTAATTGAGACTTTAGCATCGGTGTGTGATATCAGAGTAAGTTCTAGCCCCCATACTTGTAATTGAGACTTTAGCATCCGTGTGTGATATCAGAGTGAGTTCTAGCCCCCATACTTGTAATTGAGACTTTAGCATCCGTGTGTGATATCAGAGTAAGTTCTAGCCCCCATACTTGTAATTGAGACTTTAGCATCGGTGTGTGATATCAGAGTAAGTTCTAGCCCCCATACTTGTAATTGAGACTTTAGCATCCGTGTGTGATATCAGAGTGAGTTCTAGCCCCCATACTTGTAATTGAGACTTTAGCATCGGTGTGTGATATCAGAGTAAGTTCTAGCCCCCATACTTGTAACTGAGACTATGTCATCCGTGTGTGATATCAGAGTGAGTTCTAGCCCCCATACTTGTAATTGAGACTATATCATCGGTGTGTGTTATCAGAGTGAGTTCTAGCCCCCATTCTTGTAATTGAGACTACATCATCGGTGTGTGTTATCAGTTAGTTCTAGTCCCCATTCTTGTAATTGAGACTATATCATTGGTGTGTGTTATCAGAGTGAGTTCTAGCCCCCCTCTTGTAATTGAGACTATATCATGGGTGTGTGTTATCAGAGTGAGTTCTAGCCCCCATTCTTGTACATGAGACTACAAGGGCTGGCTGAAAAGTTCTAAGCCTAACTGTGAAAGACCCGTACCAAGTCGATGGTTTTCACATAGTCCCCTTCCAGGTTTACACACTTTTGCCAGCGATGCTGCAAGGCCTGGCTGCCGGTCAAGAAGAAATTTTCTTCAGCCACCCTAAAAAAGTCATTCACAGCGGAAATGACGTCATCATTACTAGGAAAATGGCGACCGGGTAGTTCCTTTTTCATTTTGGGAAACAGGTGGAAGTCTGACGGGGCCAAATCAGGTGAATAAGGGGGATGGACAATGAGTTCGAAGCCACAATCATGGATTTCTGACATGGCAACCACGGATTTGTGAACAGGAGCATTGTCTTGGTGGAACAGGACTCCTTTAGTGAGCATTCCCCGTCGCTTAGCTTTGATCCCAACGATCGTTGCCCACGGTGCAGGGTTCCTTGCAGGGACACCCGGTGCACCCTGTGCGAGGGTCTGGGGCCTGTGGTGTTCGAGCGCTACAGGCTGTATGTGAAGTCTGTTTCCACCCCTGTGGTGGCCGGTTCGTCCGGTCTGGGTCCCCTTGCGGGTACCACCTCCACGGCTGCGTCGGATCCCTTGGCGGCCCTTGGGCTGTCCAGGGATTCCGTCACAGCATTACTTTCTAAACTTGTGGACTCCAAGCTGGCGGCCTTATCTCAGGATAGGCCGCTGGCTGTTCCGTCCCCGGCCTCTTCGGTGGCCGCGGGTGCGGACGCTAGGTCCACCGGTACGGCGGCAGTCCTTCACCCGAACCGTTGCTCCCGCTATCGGTTAAGGACCGCATGGCTATGGTTTATGACCTCTTTGAGGACATGCCTAAGCCCCTGCCGGTACCGCAGGGAATCCACAGCTCTGTGGGTTCCGCCGAGGTATTCGAGGAGTCTTCCGACAAGGCTTTCCCAGCATCAACCTTGTTGCGCGGGATCAAGCCTTCCTTGGAGAAAGCATTAGCGGTGGCCTCCGGTCGAGGTCTCCCGTTGCCTCCCCCGTCTTGGAGAAAGGGTTCATTCCCTGTTCATGACCTTGCCTTTCCCGAGGCTGGTCCTACCGCGGAGGCCCATGTTGAGCGGTTGGGTGTCTGTGCCCCACCGGCTGCTACGGTAACGCAGGCTACCTTGCAGCAGCTGGACACCCTCGCTCGGCACGCCATGCTTGCCATGTCTCACAGAGACACGTACTTGGCTGCAGCGACCAGTCTGGTCGAAGGTTCTCCCACAGACAGAGACCAGTGCATTTACAAATGCTTGCTTGGTTTAAATGCTTCCCTTGAGTACGTTGCCAGGGCTTCTGCCTTTATTTCCGGCACCTGCCATTTTCTGAGGCGCTATGCGTATCTTGCCGCCTCGGGGTTGGACGCTGCCAACCAGGAAGTGCTCCTTTCGCAGCCTTGGTCTGCGCGGACCCTTTTTAATAACAAGATCCCTGGGGTTCTGTAAGAACAACAGGCTTCTTCGTCTGCCGAGGCCTCTCGGCACACACTCGATCTTGTTGGGTCCCTGCATAGACGCCTGGGTGGTGCCCCTAAGGGGAGTGCCCCCCAGGATGCTGCGGCCGGCAAGTCTAAGGGGTCGGGTCCTTCTTCTTCCGGGAAGAAGCACCGCCCTGAGGGCTCCGGTAAGGGCAATCAGCAGCCCTTTCACGGGAAGAAGGGGAACTAGGGGAAGTCCAAGCCGTCAATCACTGGAAGCATTGTCTCGTCGACGCCCGGCTCATGCTGGCGACCGACAACACGACGGTAGCGTCTTATGTGAACAAACTTGGGGGAACCCACAGTCACCCGCTACTCGATCTCACGTTCGAGTTTTACGCTCTGGTGGACAGTGTCCCGTGCCAGGTACGCGCCCGTCACATTCCCGGTGTGCAGAACGTACTGGCAGACGCTCTGTCGAGGCCTCGGGATCCGAGCCCCACGGATTGGATGCTCAATCCAGTAGTGTTTCAGTGGCTATGAACGTCTGGGTCGTCCGATGGTCGACCTGTTCGCAACAAGGTTCAACAATCAACTCCCGTTGTTAGTATCACCAGTCCCGGACCCGAGGGCCATCGATCATGATGCTCTCGCGTTAGACTGGACGGGCATGGAGGCTTACCCGCCGACGGCGTTAATACCACTCATTCTAAGCCGGCTCCGAGGAGTTCGCTGTTGAATGTTGCTGATCGCGCCCATGTGGCCGAACAGATCGTGGTACCCCGACTTGCTGGCCCAGGTCACACAGTCGCCACTTCCACTGCCTGTGAGACCGGATCTCCTGATCCACCCTCACACCCGTCAACTTCATCCAAACGATGGGCAGTTCAATCTGCACGCGTGGATGTTGTCACCGAGCGACTGAGGAGTAAAGGTTTTTCTCGTCTCGAGTCTCGGGCATACGTTAGTATGCATCGTGATTCTACCCAGAAGGTGTATAATGCACGCTGGGCTATTTTCACGAAGTGGTGTTGTAAACATCACATTCATTCGCCAGATATCTGTGCAGGACGTTGCTCGTTTCATGTCTCACTTACGAGAGACCCGGAAACTCTCCGGGTGTTCCATTGCCAACTATGTCTCTTTCGTTGCTACGGTACGGGACGTTCCTATGGGTACCAGTTTCTCAAAAGACACAGTGGTTCAGGGTATTATCAAGGGTTTCAAACAGCAAGATCTTAAGAAAGGCCGCCTTCGGGCTCCTGCCTGGGAACTTTCCTTAGTGTTGAAATCACTTACGGAAGCTCCGTATGAACCCTTGAGTAGTGCTTCATTTCGGCATGTGACTTGGAAAACAGCATTTCTCCTCTCCTTTGCCACGGTGGCACGTGTGTCTGAGATTCATACACTCGATGTCACTAAAGTATGATTCGATAGGGGCGACGAAGGAGAGGTCCGCCTGGGCCTGCTCATGGGCTTCGTCGCTAAGAATCAGAAATTTGGCCAAACGGAGAGAGAATTCAGTGTAAGATCACTCAAGGAAATCTTACATCCTGCTGATACTGAGGACAGATCACTGTGTCCGGTTAGGGCCCTTAAGTATTATCTTAAGGCCTTGAATGAACGCAGACAAGGGCATGACCGTCTGTTCATATCGTGTAACCCTTATCGCACTGCTGACATAACTCGCAACTTGATTGCGTTATGGCTTTGTTCTGTCATCAATCTGGCATACCGGTATCAGGGGTTACCGGTTGCGGGGTCAAACCCGCACGAGATCAGGGCGCTAGCGGCAACATTTGCCCTACACTCCAATTATCTCTGTTCACAGAATATTGAGAGGTTGTTACTTGCGTTCTGACTCGGTTTTTGCCAATCATTACCTCAGAAAGGTTTCTGATGAAGACGCTGAGGGTGTGCACCGTCATCTAAGGGGTGTGCCCAGTGCAATTCCGAACTCCTCAGGCGTCAGACCTTGCACGGGGGTCAATCTGGGTCTACTCCAATGTTCCCACTGCCGTGGGTACAGGAGTGGGGGTCCCGCAAACCAGCGCACTCACACCACAGGTGAGGGCGGCTTTTTGTGTGTTTTGTCCTTATTTGTATTTTGACAATTATTTATTTAATTGTCTGTCATGTATTCCAACCTTGTAATGCATGCTTACAAATACTGGAATTAGGTCGCGCCTAATGCATACTTGAAGTAGGCTTGCTCTGGGATATACAGTCCGAATATCGACTGTTTAACCTGATCTAAGATTTAGCTCACACTGATACTGTGTTCTCTGCTGCGCTGATGAAATACCTATCCAGTGAGGCCGTTTGGAGTCACCAATCGTTTGGCAAAGACGATTGAGCCTTACGGTATGCGCTTGTCAGTGCTTTGGTATTCCTATAGGGAGCTGGGAGCATGCGCATCGAGTGCTTCCGCCTTGTTGTTTACTTCCGCTGGTCAGAAGGAACACGAGCAGTCAGGTTCGGGTTGTATGTCTCCCCACGGCCTACTGTGGTAATCAGCCTTGGTATAACAGTGGTACTGTATTACTTAATGTAATTTGTAGAATTTTCCTATTTGGAATATTCTATAGTAATACGTTACCACTTGGGCTGCTGCACCCCCGACCGTCCCCCGAGCACTTGCTCTCGCTAGAGACAAGAGTGAAGGGTGTTACATGGCAGCTGAGGTGGCTATGCACGTGCTGCATGAGGTAATTGAGATCTCTGTGGTAGATTTTGCTATAAGAGCAGTTGTGGGAGACAACAGCCTTGGTATAACAAGTGGTAACGTATTTCTATAGAATATTCCGAATAGGAAAATTCTACAAATATCATCGGTTTGTGATATCAGAGTGAGTTCTAGCCCCCCTCTTGTAATTGAGACTATATCATCGGTGTGTGATATCAGAATGAGTTCTATCCCCCCTCCCTCTTGTAATTGAGACTATATCATCGGTGTGTGATATCAGAATGAGTTCTAGCCCCCCTCTTGCAATTGAGACTATATCATCGGTGTGTGTTATCAGAGTGAGTTCTAGCGCCCCTCTTGTAATTGAGACTATATCATCGGTGTGTGATATCAGAGTGAGTTCTAGTCCCTATTCTTGTAATTGAGACTATATCATCGGTGTGTGTTATCAGAGTGAGTTCTAGCCCCCATTCTTGTACATGAGACTTTAGCATCGGTGTGTGTTATCAGAGTGAGTTCTAGACTCCCCTCTTGTAATTGAGACTTTAGCATCGGTGTGTGATATCAGAGTGAGTTCTAGTCCCCATTCTTGTACATGAGACTATATCATCGGTGTGTGATATCAGAGTGAGTTCTAGCCCCCATTCTTGTACATGAGACTATATCATCGGTGTGTGATATCAGAGTGAGTTCTAGCCCCCATTCTTGTACATGAGACTATATCATCGGTGTGTGATATCAGAGTGAGTTCTAGCCCCCTCTTGTAATTGAGACTATATCATCGGTGTGTGTTATCAGAGTGAGTTCTAGACCCCCCTCTTGTTATTGAGACTATATCATAGGTGTGTGTTATCAGGGTGAGTTTTACCCCCCCCCCCCCCTCTTGTAATCGAGACTATAATCATAGGTGTGTGTTATGTGAGTGAGATCTAATCCCTCTCTTGTAAATGAGACTATATCATTGGTATGTGTTAATTTGTTTGCTAGGCATTAATTAGAAGTTGACGGATGGCAAAATAAGACAGTTAATGGATAACAGCGTCTTTATTTACGGTAAAGGCGATGTTTTGGTAGAGATCCTTATATCGTTTTCAAGCAAGGTTAAATAAAGAACATGGTACAGAATATATACTCAACAACAAAAGTTCCTATGACACCAATATTTTCGTGTATTTTTCAAACAAGTAAAGTTATGTTTTCAATATTGTAGTACAGGTATGGAATCAAGTCACAAAAACGCAACTGCTACAGAAAAGCATGCATTCCATGCAAAAGTTGACTTTATGCAAGCCCCATGCATTTCACAACCCAAGAATGGGTATAAAAACGTGTGTTAACGGGATTCCATGTGCATTGTTTAGCATCGTGCTGACAACCACTCAGAAAAACAACAAAATTACACAATTAGTGAACATTACGAAATACCAAGCCTGTCCAAAAATGAGCGTCTGCAAGCCATTAGTATGCTTGAAGCAGGATCGAGGCAACGTGATGTTGCAAGACAATATAACATCCACAGTAACGCCATTTGGTGTTTATTGCAACGTTGGCAACAGACGAATGCAGTCAGAGACCATCATCGGAAAGGCAGACCATGCGTAACCAATAATCGACAAGACAACTGGATTCGAACAACACACCTACGAAATCGATTCCAGCCAGCAACAGTGACTGCAAGAAGCATCCCTGGCCTTCGACAGATATCTTCACAAACCGTACGGCGTCGCCTCAGATGTGCAGGGATTGTCGCCAGAAGACCTGCCAGACGTCCCATTTTGACAGGAGACCACCGTCAAGCACGTCTACAGTGGTGCAGACAGCGTCCGCGCTGGACGGCCATGCAATGGGAACAAGTTCTATTCACTGACGAGTCTTGTTTTCTCCTCAGCCACAGCGATAGACGGATTCCAGTGCACAGACGTCGAGGTGAGCGTTACGTCAACCATTGTGTCATGGAAGAAGATCAATTCGGGGGCGGTAGCGTTATGGTATGGGGTGGGATTACAGCAAGACAGAGGTCCCGTTTGATAGTGGTAGAGGGAAATCTCAATGGACAGCGCTACCGCGACGAGATCATCAGCCCTGTTGTTCTACCGTTTTTGCGTCGTCATGGCCCAGGCTTTACTTTTCAACATGACAACGCCCAGGATTCTCTTCAACGAAACAATGTGAATGTCATCCACTGGCCGGCTCGCTCCCCTGATCTCTCACCAATCGAGCACATGTGGGATAAGATGGATCGGCGCCTTCGACGTCAACCACGTGTTCCACAGACACTCCAGGAACTTCGAAACATGCTCCAGCAGATATAGACAGATATCCCACAGGACTTTGTGCGACGCCTGGCCCATTCTATGAGACGAAGATGTGTTGCTTGCATCCCAACCAGAGGTGGACACACACAGTCTTGATTTGTAAATTGACATTTTGGCATGATCATGTTTTTTATGAAATCACGCATTTTCTGAAGTCAGTATGGCAAATTAATCCATTTGAACACTTACAGGAGTCTTTTATCTGCACCAAACAGAAATTGTTTCAGATTTGGTAAAAAACATAACTTTGCATTAAATCTTATTCAATGTCACAGGAACTTGTGTTGTTCAGTATATAAAGTAGGTGGAGGATTAACAGTAATAACAATTGCATGCAAGTGAGAGATTAAACAGGTTAAACAATGACAACAGAAGGATAATACTGTCACAACGTGATGGACAGAGAACATGATTGGGAAGCCAATTAAATAGGATAAGTATACACAGGTGGGGTGATTATTGCTTAATGAGTTCATAGTAGGCGGGTGGGATGAAATAGCCTTGATCTCTGTTGATTGATGGCTTTGGGCGGAGAATGTAGACTGCTTCTGTTAGTTTTCATTTAGTGAAGTCATGGAGGTTGTTGGGGAGGATTTGGACATTTTCCCAGTTGATGTGGTTAGGGCAGTTGCTGATATGGTCAAAGATGGCTGATTTACTGTCTGATATGATGGTTGAAGTTTTGTGCTCTTTAATTCTGGTGTTAATGGGGTGTGTTTCTGCCTTTGGCTCTTTGTAGGGTGTGCACTAACAGAGTGATTGCTAACGTAGCTCATTATGAACAATGTAACTGAATTCTAGAGTGCTTCTCACCACGTCCAAGTCTGGTCATATTATTTACACAAGTTAATCAAGCAGTTATGACAGTCACCAACCATGTACATGTATGATGGAGTCTTGTCAAATAATCTTATAATTAGAAGCAAAACACTGCTCACCCACGTATTGAAATTGTCCAGTACTGCAGTCTTGGTGAATAGATAACACAGCTCATTTACGTTCAAAGGATTGAGCTAACACATGTTACAGAACCTGTACAGTCTTCTGTAACAAATGTCATATTTGGGAAAACATGTTCTTTGTAAGGTCCTGGATGGGACTCAACCCAAAAAGTACAAGAATCTGTATTTTACTGAGAAAGTGCTATCCCAAATATGACATTTATTACATTTGACCACTTTCTGAGTGGCATTGTGTCTTCACACAATGTACAGACTTCTGGGTCACAAAACCTCTCTCATTTGAATCTGTGTTATTTGAATTTCCTGATTTTAATTTCATGGTAGTAAGATCACATGTCAAGCAGTTGAAGTTAAGCATGTGATGATATTATTCCTATACGACTATCACACCCTACTATATCATGGAATACTTAATCTTCAGTCTTCGTGTTATCATTTACTTACTTTTTATAGTTCAAAGATAGGTACTCACATTAATTTCATGACACGTTACACGCCAGGGGCCGACACTTGCATTAATTCTGTGATGCATTAATTTCATGCTTTACAGTATCTCATCGGTGCCTGTTATCAGAGTGAGACATACCGGTATATGGGTATCTTAGTATGTCTGTAGTCACAGCTGTAGCCCCTTGTGACTGGATCTCCAGTCTGCAGGCCACAGTGCCTGTATTACATCATACCTGTGAGACAACTTCATGAGCCAGGCAACATCGTGTTACAAAACATACAGGTTGTCTGGCCTGTATGGACATGATGATGTCAGGAGGAGTTGGATGTTAAGTCACATACTTGTTGCATCACAACTGACTGCTTGTGCATTGTTTGTTATTGTGAGAAACGGTCCATGCTGTCATTATGCTCAGTTATGATTGAATTTGTATTTCATTGGTATCTTTCAGTTTACTGGTGTCCAATAAAGATCAAAATCTTGCTCTGAAGTCCCAGACCTTGTCTGCAGGTATGTGTTTCCTCGGGCATATGTTGCTGGCTCTGTGCTGTTGCAATATCACAAAGGTGTGGTGGTTACTGTCGAGAAGTGTACATAGGTCATCCTCTGGGCTGCCATTCCGTCAAATAATACAAAGTTGAAATGAAGGACAAAAGTATGCAATTATAGTCAAATGTTACGAATAAAGTATTAAATGTTACTAATACAGGTCAAAATACAAAACAAACAGACGCTGGTTAAAAAATACAAAGTTGAAATATAGGTCAAAACTCACGTTGATTGCTGTAAATACATCGTACCTACATGATAGTCCAATCTGTCAATCACTGTAATAGGCAATAAACTGAGTTGACACTGATTAATCGAGGATTAATTACTGAGAACATCTTGTTAATTTGAGTGAAAGGTGTTTACAACTGTACATTAATACCTTGCATCATCGATGTACCTCATAATCCTCACAATGCTATGATACGTAACCTCAGACAAGAAGCGAAAGCGTGACGACAGCCAGTCGACCGATGCAGATCAGTCGAGCGGATCTGCCAAACCCTCAAAGTCTGGACGATCATTTTGTAAGTCGTGGCTAACGACATTCACTTGGTTGACATACAATGAGGATTTGCAGATTTTATTGTTTTCAGTAGCTAGTTGTATATTGAATCTTGATTGACCGCCATTTTGCTTTCTCGGACGATCGATATCCAATTTTTTTATGGTCAATAATTAAGTACAGATGAAAAAAGTATTCAAATAACTATTGCTATCAACGATATTTTAGTATTTGTGATTAAATTATCTGTCTTGTTTTTAAAAAAATCTTTAGTTTAAAAAAAAACTTTTCCCGTGAGGTCACGTGTTAACCAAATATGGGATAATAGTCTCGATCCAAATGTTACAACGCGTACACTTGAGCAGACTCATGAATATAACTCATGAATATTAATTAGACCGTTCACTACGTTAACAGATCGTTATTATAACAGAAACAAACGTATTTTTTCCATGTAAATCTAAAATGATATTATTTGTTATTAATTGTCCGGTGAATTAAACAATTTAAATTGAAACAATTCATAATTCATCATATTATGAATACGTAAACTTGTAATGTGTGTGAAAAGTCGTACTAAAATACGCTATTTGAAGGGGGCGTGGCCTAAATGCAAATGTCCGATTGGGATTTTAAATTTTCCGGACCCCTGGTCAAAAGTATGCCATATAATAGTCAAATGTTACGAAAAGTTGTCATATGAAAAGAAAGAACAGTGTGTAATAAAGAACGTCAGTGCACATGAAATGACACTAAACTGCTGAAGGACGTTGACAATAGCAGATGCCGCTGCAATTCGTAAAATATTTCAAGTTTCTTTATTGTTGACATTACTTAGCAGTTTAGTGTTTATTGTATTCCATGCTTTTAACCTTTATTTCGAATTTGTATTTTTTAACCAGCGTCTGTCTGTTTTGTATTATGACCTTAATTCGTAACATTTATTCGTAACGTTTGACTATTATTGCATACTTTTGTCCTTTATTTCAACTTTGTATTTTTTTACCAAATATGTGCCCATATCATCCCTCGGTTGTATTGTAACGATTAGTGCACAAACTAGATTGCTCTCAGTACAAGGTTTGCAAATATCTTTCTCCCCGCAACCTCATTTCACCAACATCCAGCTCTTAATTTATCAAATGTTCAAACATAGTTCTGGTAATAATCAGTACAAAAAATGGCTGCCTGCCTGTTATCCCATGGCCATGATTAGTGTTGTCAAATCAAATAAGATCTTCAAGCTGATAGTGGTTCTGACAGGACCACATGACATTGTCCTCACCTCTATATGGAGATAATTCTTGTGACAGGACCACATGACAATGTAACATTGTTCTTACCTCTATATGGAGATAATGCTTCTGACAGGACCACGTGACATTGTCCTCAACACTATATGGAGATAATGCTTATGACAGGACCACGTGACACAATGTCACATTGTCCTCACCTCTATATCAAGATAATGGTTCTGACAGGACCACGTGACATTGTCCTCAACACTATATAGAGATAATGCTTCTGACAGGACTATGTGACACAATGTCACATTGTCCTCATCTCTATATCAAGATAATGGTTCTGACAGGACCACGTGACACAATGTGACATTGTTCTTACCTTTATATTGAGATAATGCTTCTGACAGGACCACGTGACACAATGTGACATTGTTCTTACCTCTATATGGAGATAATGCTTCTGACAGGACCACGTGACACAATGTGACATTGTCCTCAATAGTATATGGAGATAATGCTTCTGACAGGACTATGTGACACAATGTCACATTGTCCTCAATACTATATGGAGATAATGTTGCTGACAAGACCACGTGACACATTGTGACATGGGACCCGATAAAATCAGTGCTATTTAGACCCGCATTGCGCATTCGCATTCCGACTCTGACACTCTTAATTTGCAATGAATTACCGAAATCATTCATCAATCAGTCTCATTTATCCAACACAGTGATCAGCGTACTCAGTGGTCATCTGCCCGAGAGTACATTGTCCCGTGTTTTGATGTGAGATGAGTCGGCTAGTAGCTGCATATTACAATGGCTGCAGAGATAAACTTGCTTAACAACAAACAAATTAATGCTTGAAATAAAGAAAACAGGATTAATCACATGCTTAGATTACCTCAATCTCATTAAAATCAGCTACAAGTTCTCGCTATCAGCGAGGACATCCCATTACAGGTCACGTCAGAACAACCTTTTGCGAAATATGACCTACTACTAAAATGACTAACAGGAAGTCAACATTAGCCACTTAGAAAGCAGCTTTCTTAAGCTTCTGACAGGACCACGTGACACAATGTGACATTGTCCTTAACACTATATGGAGATAATGCTTCTGACAGGACCACGTGACACAATGTGACATTGTCCTAAACACAATATGGAGATAATGCTTCTGACAGGACCACTATGTGACATAATGTGACATTGTTCTTACCTCTATATGGAGATAATTTTTGTGACAGGACCACGTGACATTGTCCTCAACACTACATGGAGATAATGCTTCTGATGGGACAACTTGACACAATGTCACATTATCCTCACCTCTATATCAAGATAATGGTTCTGACAGGACCACGTGACACAATGTGACATTGTCCTCACCTCTATATGGAGATAAGGCTTCTGACAGGACCACGTGACACAATGTGACATTGTTCTTGCCTCTATTTGGAGATAATGCTTCTGACAGGACCATGTGACACAATGTGACATTGTCCTCACCTCTATATGGAGATAAGGCTTCTGACAGGACAGGACCACGTGACACAATGTGACATTGTCCTCACCTCTATATGGAGATAATGCTTCTGACAGGACCACGTGACACATTGTGACAATGTTCTTACCTCTATATCGAGATAATTCTTGTGACAGGACCATGTGACACAATGTGACATTGTCCTCACCTCTATATCGAGATAATGCTTCTGACAGGACCACGTGACACAACGTGACATTGTCCTTAACATTATATGGCGATAATGCTTCTGACAAGACCACGTGACACAATGTGACATTGTTCTTACCTCTATATGGAGATAATGCTTCTGACAGGACCACGTGACACAATGTGACATTGTTCTTACCTCTATATCGAGATAATGCTTCTGCCAGACCATGTGACACAATGTGACATTGTTCTCACCTCTATATCAAGATAATTCTTGTGACAGGACCATGTGACACAACGTGACATTGTCCTCACCTCTATATCGAGATAATGCTTCTGACAAGACCAGGTTACACAATGTGACATTGTTTTTACCTCTATAGGGGCGGTCGGGTAGCCTAGTGGTTAAAGCGTTCACTCGTCACGCCGAAGACCTGGGTTCGATTCCCGACATGGGTACAATGTGTGAAGCCAAATTTCTGGTGTCCCCCGCCGTGATATTGCTGGAATAATGCTAAAAACGGCGTAAAACCATACTCACTCACTCACTCACTCACTCTTACCTCTATATCGAGATAAGGCTTCTGACAGGACCATGTAACACAATGTGACATTGTCCTCACCTCTATATGGAGATAAGGCTTCTGACAGGACCACGTGACACAATGTGACATTGTCCTCACCTCTATATGGAGATAATGCTTCTGACATTGTCCTTAACATTATATGGCGATAATGCTTCTGACAGGACCACGTGACACAATGTGACATTGTCCTCACCTCTATGTCTAGATAAGGCTTCTGACAGGACCATGTGACACAACGTGACATTGTCCTCAACACTATATGGAGATAATGCTTCTGACAGGACTTTGTGACATAATGTGACATTGTTCTTTCCTCTATATGGAGATAATGCTTCTGACAGGACCACGTGACACAATGTGACATTATTCTTACCTCTATATGGAGATAAGGCTTCTAACAGGACCACCTGACACAATGTGACATTGTTCTTACCTCTATATTGAGATAATGCTTCTGACATGACCACGTGACACAATGTGACATTGTCCTCACCTCTATATGGAGATAATCTCTGACAGGACCATGTGACACAATGTCTCATTGTTCTTACCTCTATATGGAGATAATGGTTCTGACAGGACCACGTGACACAATGTGACATTGTCCTCACCTCTATATGGAGATAATACTTCTGACAGGACCATGTGACACAATGTGACATTGTCCTTAACACTATATGGCGATAATGCTTCTGACAGGACAACGTGACATTGTCCTCACCTCTATAAGGAGATAATTCTTCTGACAGGACCACGTGACACAATGTGACATTGTCCTCACCTCTATATCGAGATAATTCTTGTGACAGGACCATGTGACACAATGTGACATTGTCCTCACCTCTATATCGACATAATGCTTCTGACAAGACCATGTGACACAATGTGACATTGTTCTTACCTCTATATAGAGATAATGCTTCTGGCAGGACCACGTGACACAATGTGACATTGTTCTTACCTCTTTATCTAGATAATGCTTCTGATCGGACCACGTGACACAATGTGACATTGTTCTTACCTCTATATCTAGATAATGCTTCTGACAAGACCACGTGACACAATGTGACATTGTTCTTACCTCTATATGGAGATAATGCTTCTGACAGGACCACGTGACACAATGTGACATTGTTCTTACCTCTATATTGAGATAATGCTTCTGACAAGACCACGTGACACAATGTGACATTGTTCTTGCCTCTATATGGAGATAATGCTTCTGACAGGACCACGTGACATTGTCCTCACCTCTATATCGAGATAATGCTTCTGACAAGACCACGTGACACAATGTGACATTGTTCTTACCTCTATATGGAGATAATGCTTCTGACAGGACCACGTGACACAATGTGACATTGTTCTTACCTCTATATTGAGATAATGCTTCTGACAAGACCACGTGACACAATGTGACATTGTTCTTGCCTCTATATGGAGATAATGCTTCTGACAGGACCACGTGACATTGTCCTCACCTCTATATCGAGATAATGCTTCTGACAAGACCACGTGACACAATGTGACATTGTTCTTACCTCTATATGGAGATAATGCTTCTGACAGGACCACGTGACACAATGTGACATTGTTCTTACCTCTATATTGAGATAATGCTTCTGACAAGAGCATGTGACACAATGTGACATTGTTCTTACCTCTATATGGAGATAATGCTTCTGACAGGACCACGTGACACAATGTGACATTGTTCTTACCTCTATATGGAGATAATCTCTGACAGGACCATGTGACACAATGTGACATTATTCTTACCTCTATATGGAGATAATGCTTCTGACAGGACCACGTGACACAATGTGACATTATTCTTACCTCTATATGGAGATAATGCTTCTGACAGGACCACGTGACACAATGTGACATTATTCTTACCTCTATATGGAGATAATGCTTCTGACAGGACCATGTGACACAATGTGACATTGTTCTTACCTCTATATGGAGATAATCTCTGACAGGACCATGTGACACAATGTGACATTATTCTTACCTCTATATGGAGATAATGCTTCTGACAGGACCACGTGACATTGTCCTTAACACTATATGGAGATAATGGAGTTAGAGGTAATGAAGTTTCACAACATATCCAAGTACTCAGCTTGTTTTTTGTATGACATTGTGTTGAAGGTGTCCCGGAGATTCAGGTGATCCCTGACTCGGACCTAGTGTCCTGGCTGTCTGACCGGCACTTTGACCAGGACACCATACACAAGGTCTGTTCTTACATCGGACTGGTTTAGCATGTCCAGCCAGCAGTCTATGATCATTTATTTTCCCAAGCTCCATCTCTAGGCAATCGTTCTGTGTTTCACATGGCACATTAATCAACCTGCTGGGACCTCTTGCTGTGAACAGCCTTTCTTTTGAATTTTTTTTTGGCATTTTCATGAAATCAGGTTTGGCAATATTTGCATAAATGAGAAAATATAATATATTTTTGGATGAAACTTTGTTCAAAATTCAACATATTGGCAACGGTGTCCTGTTAGCAGATTTTCCTTTTTAACTTTTGTTATTTATATGGAAAAAAGAATTGTGTGAACCATTTGAAAGTTGAGTTAGAAAAAGTGACTATCCTTGTATGTGCTTCAGGTGTGCCAGGAGGAGTACACTCTGCCAGACCTGCTGGAGCTTGCCACCAAAGAAGACCTCACTCGCCTTCAACTCAAGTAGGTTGCTTGTAGAACACACATTCTACATTCTGTTTTCTTATTCTGAACACTCTGGGCTCGCATAGTAACAAGAGTAATATTCAAAGGCTATGTACATTGAAGCTTACTGTATTTAAGGGGAAGAGAGTTCACCACCACATACCCCTTGGGTCTAAGCTAGGGGTCCCTGTGTGTGCAGAGTTGTAGGTTTGTCAGGGCCACTGTTTTGAGGGTGTGGTCTCACAGAGTCTCCAGATTTTCATGTATCTGAAATCAAATTGCCTAAAATAGTTTTCAATCAGTATGTGCAATGGTTTTTTATAGAGGTGGTGTTTTGTGTCGACTATGGCGAGCTCTCCTGACCCACCGAGCCCAGCAACGTGCACCCAGGTGACAGTGACAGAGAGGTTGTGATCAGCTGTACATACCGTCATCCCTGCACAGTTCATCACCTCACTCCTACACTCCAGTTGTTGTACTTCATCCCTGCACCAGCCGTCAAGCTGGGATGGCATCATGGTGGACAACAATGTTCCACCTGTCATGTCCCCCAGGTGCAAGGCCATCCTTGCACGACAGCTTCTTCCACAAGGCGGACATTCAGCCAGACTGGTCACACTCCACTACAATAAGTCCATAATAAAAGGAAGGTTCTCTGTGCTAACAGTCTCGTGCAACCAAATGTAATAAGGGAGACTGAGACTCGTGCTGCAAAACCTGCAGCAATCAATACCATATCGTATTTCTTTGGGCTTTTTGCAGCCATAAGAGCAGTTTTGTGTAACTGGTACTCTTAATTGTTTTCCTGTGAACTGTTTTTATTTCTACACATTGTTGGCCGAATTGTTGCTGGTTGAAGCAGGTTATGATGCATATAACGGTTTCTCTGAGTGCATCTGGCTATTGAGGACAGCATTAACCTGACATGGACAACTTTGTTTCCTGGCTGGTTTTTCTGGGAGAATATTTGTGTACTTCCAACAATGATTACCACTGCCAGTGTGTTGTACATGTTGGAAATAGAAAAAACAAACAGAAGTCATTTCTACAGTGCCCTGTCATAACATCCATCACATCACATAGAAGTCACCAGTATCCAACTGTCAGTGCGAACCAGCCACTACCTCTTTGTCAACTCACCGAAGGCAGCTGCCAACCCAGCTTCAGGGGACCTCTGTGACCGGACATTGGTGTGGGCAGTCAGTATACTACATCATTACACTGTCAGAACAGTCCCATGACTAACTAACCAGCCAGTTCAGGCTCAGTACTAAAGTGCTGTAATTGTAGTAAGGAACACATTTCACCATGCTGGATGTCCCATCAAATGTCAGTTCTCCCTCGATGCCGTCAACTCACCTGATCGAGCTCCTGAAACAGACATAAGGGCAGATAACTCAAAGGTTTATTTTGAAGTTTTGTTATGTTTGAGTCAGCATTATTAGCCCTGTGTTCAGTAGCATGTGGTGCTGGTGCTTTGCCTCATGATGTGTCTGATGCCAGTCTTTCCAGTCAAAGATTAGCAGTTATGTTATTTATGAGTGTCCTACAAATCTCTAGGCCAATATTGCAGTACTTCAGCATGTGTGTGTGACTCTCGCTATCTTGTGCATATATTAGACAAAGCACCTTGAAAGTTGACAGTTTATGACAAGCCCCATGTTTTGGACTACTGAGTGCAGGGCAGAGTTTGTTTTTGTTGATGGATACCAGTTTGTGTCGTCCATGTTACATTACTTAACATGTACATTTGTATTGTTTGCATTTCTGTGTACGCCAACATGTGACGCTGACACTTGCCATCATTAACAAACTGATCCTGCTTTGTGAAATGCAGCTGATACCTTTCATGGTAAATATATTGTAATCATTCTACACATTGCCACATGGAGGCCTATAAATAGCTCTGCTTATCCCACCTACAGATGATACTCATGTCGATGAAGACTCAGGTGTGTTTCAAGATTTCACTCGTAACTAGAAGAGGCCAGAGTGGGGACAGCATGATGCTGGTCCTTGGCTGATGCTGACAACCTAGTACTTCAGTAATGTTTTCACTCCAGACTTATTGTTTGCCTGTACACATTGCTTTGTAATTGCTGCAGATAATGCCTCATGTCACAACTGTTGACTTCAAACTTGCTACCATTTCAATAGGTCTCAGACAGCACCTTCAGATGGGACAAGGGATACTCACATTACTGGGTTAAGCAAACTAAGACTAGATATATGTGTGTATGAGACATCTTTCACCCAATGTTTTAAGCAAATATACTTCATGGAATGAAGTATTATCATAGTATTAAAGAGTTTTTTCTGTCTCAAGAAGGCTTGTTGCATCCAAGTTGACCCCATCAACTCTATTTTCCCATAAATCCTCTGACTGAGATGCCTTGTCAATAAGACACGTGAGACATGGTGTGCCCAATTAGAAAGCCTTGCTGCTGTAAACTTACATCATCAAAGATGCCCCATCTGTACGCTCAGGTTTTGATCTTTCTCAGATGGAAAGGTGTATCAAAGGATCAGTTGTTTTCATGTACAATGCTCGCTGTGATGAGTGGCCACTGTCTCTGATGCCCCCCATTCACCCCAGCCCCACTTGCTAGGGGCACCATGTAATACATATTTCATATATCAGCTCATTTCAACCTCCTACATTTATGACCAGTGATTTGTTTAAAGAAAGGGGTAAGTGTAATATATGTTGAAGCTTACATGATTTATATGATCACATTGAAGTACAGGTTTCAATATTGCCATGAGGTGAGTATCATCAACAACATTGCTAGGTACACTGTTTGCAAGGTTTCTCTAATACAGTTATTTCTGCGACTTTATACCTTATGTATGTCCTGTTTGTCCATCAGTTGTATATCCTGCCATTTCCTGACAGTATGAAAGGTTTATATGAATTCCCCTGGTACAAGTTTTATGAAGGGTAATCAGTTTAGTTTCAGCACTGAAATGTATTGGATGTATGTTGAGATACTGTAAGATAGGATATCACTGGCCGAACTGAGAACAGTTCTTGACCTGCTTAGTGTAAGGCTACTACTGGTGATGCTGCTTGATGCAGTGTGAGAATTTCAGTTAAAGATTGGCAACTCTCGATAACCATGATGATGCTTTGTGTAACACTTTTAATGGAAGTTGACTGTTGATGTTAGTCTTTTTCCTCCTTTTTTGACACCAAGTGACATTGTTGTTTAATTTGTATAAGGTAGAAAGCCAAGATAAACCCACCTCTGTGTTTGGACATCTTCTCAAGGCAAGGGAGTTCACTGACTATAAAACTCCAGTTTCCATCCTTGCCGAACTAAGCTGGAAATATAGAGCTATCTTTTGGCTGCAGTAACGTGTCAATGCATAGTCCAATCAAAATCGCATTGCAGATTTCGGTTGATTGCAGGATTTGCAAAGCATGTGCATTGTCAACTTTCCCCCAAAAAATATGTTTTTAATCAAGGTGCTCACATGATTTGATGCACCTCGCAAAGTAAGACACATTTTATAACAATGTAGATCTTGATTAAGGATCAGATCGTCTTCACTAGGTGCCGCCATTTTAGTTGAAGCAAATACATGTGACATTAGAGATGGAATCTGAATGGGCAGTAGGGGGGACATAAAAGGGACATAGCTCGTAATAGCCACTGGTGGCGCTACAATCGAGCTTAGAAATTCCAGCCTAGTTTGGAAACTGGACTTTTACAGTCAGTTATCTCCCTTCTTGGAGAAGATGGTATTTGGATTATGAAGGAAGTGTTGGTTATTCATCTAAAGTGCCTCTTGTCTCCTTTATGTTAAACCTATAGAGGAATAATGTGTGTACATATGAACATCAATGCAATTTGTCTATTCAGTTGTTGACAAAAAAAATTGTTGTGAAAAAAAATTGTACCAGTATTCATTTTGTGAGGTATACTATTTTGAAGAATGTTTCTTTGCTGAATGAATTGGAGTTTTGGTGTTGCCTAACACTGACATCGGAGAGGCAGATATGCAAGTTATTGGTAGGGAGAAGATTGGTCTTCATCTTTGAAGTAAGATACTGTGTACTCAGTGTTAGTTCTCTCTTATGTTGTTGCTCTCTAAAACTTGCTTTGGATGTTGGTCCTGATAGGTTGCAGCACCCAGCAGCATCTGCCCAAGCCAGTCATTTTTTACCCAATTCGTAGTGATGCCAGAAATTATACACTGCACCGTGTGTAATAGGTCTGTTGTTGCTGGAGCATGGTTTTATACAAACTAGTCACAACCAGCCTAGGCTTCATGTGGCCCTGAAGTGTACAGGTGTATGCCAGTTAATTGGACATGCAGCTCCTTGGCACAATTTTGATGCTTTTGTTAGACTATATGGAATGAAGCATTTCTTAACATATGTGAAATTGTTTTGTTTGATTGTCATTCTAGAAGTTGGTGAGTAAATAAGAAATCGTACAACTTTATGGATAAGGACTTCTGGTTTATTGCACGTTTCACTTGGTTGTAGTCACTCCAGCTTGATAACGGTGGAAGAATCAACTGCAAAACATCATTATATGCAATAAACCAGACGTTGTTATCCAAAAAGTTCTACGTTTTCTTATGCGAAATTTTGTGCCATTGTTATATTTAAATCAATCAAGCTGGTTTGTTTTAGGACTGGACTTTTATTTCTTTGTAATAGCTTTTCATAAAAACCTTATAGCCATTTTGTATAAATGCTTGTGTGGTTTGCATTGCACTAGCAGTGTGGTAACAAGAGATTTGTATAGGAATGCCGTGCCATGTCTACTTCATGCAGGGAGCATGGGTGGCAGTGTTGAGTTACCTCATTGGGGCATGCCAGAAACCTATGATTGTGGGTTCGAATCCTGGTTCACCTCGATTACCATATGTTTCTAGGTGTGTCAGCACCATACCCAAGCTCGTGGGTTTCACCAAAGTGGTAAATGTCTAAGACCTGCATCACTTTGACCTGTCCTCCACCAATAAGCTGACACCCCGTGATATACCTGGAATACTGTTCAAAGGGGTGTTAAACCCAATTCACTCACTCACTCTGCTACATGCATGTAGAGCTGGCATAGATTATTTGATGTCACATAGTGAAAGTCAAATACATTGAGGAACCTGCAGTGTCGGCTGCTCTTGTACATACTGATTTGGTTTAGTTCAGGGGATTCCACACCTCTGTGTCAGCTTTCAGGCAGTAAGCACTTGCTGAACAGATTTGTTACTATTTATCTTTGTTATGCGATTTACTTGATCAAAGCAAGATGAAAATATATTGTGATAATTTATTGTGAGTTGATTATTTTACTGGAGTATATTTTACTAATAAGCACTGACCTTCTTATTTGTGCATTGTACAAGTAATGGTATTTTATTCACATCACTTTACCCAAACAGACATTATGCGACTTTTAGCCAGGCAGTATTTGTGCATATTTTATCAGACATCTTAAACTTGTTGTTCACCTGAATGAAAGTCAAGTGAGCTTATGTGGTGGCCTGTGTGTCATAAACATCTTCTCATCAGAAGCCACTGAACCACAGAAGCTAAATGTCATATAGTACTTCCCACCGATGATCACACACCCAATTTTCACAGTAGCCATATTGAAGAAAATATATATGGCCATTACGTGTTGAAAAACATTATTGTTAAAATGTAATGTAATGAAAGTATATGTGTACTGTAGTTAGTAGTAGGGCTCACCATATGTGTTCATTTTTATCCAATATATTTTTTTTTTTTAACCCTCATTAAGACCTTTGCACAGCGATCATACTAAACACTAAACTTCTTACAGCCATCACACTTCCATTTTTGTTCCAAATGTAATAATATGTGGTATATATGTATCATTAGAAGGTGGGCTCAACACATGTTCGGGGTTTTTGCAACATTTTGAACATGTTCTTAAATTCTCTCCAAATGTATTTCCTTCATTGTAAACCATTTTAATAAGGCTGTGATGGTATTTATGTTTCTATGAAAAAGCATTCATTCATTGTAAACATTATTTCCTCAGAACCACTGGACGAATGAAGGTGAAACTTCACATGCTTGTTTCCACCAATGAGAAAACATCAATCTGTTTAAGAGGTTCAAATCTGATTTTCAATAAGTGTCTATCTTCGACAATTTTAGCTGTTGACTACATATCCAGGTGAGCTACAGTGCCCTTTTCACTAGCTTTCAAATTGTAAGAATTGGAACCAATCATGAAGTGTTAATTCAGACTCAATAAATGATTTTAGTGTGACCCTTCAATTATGTTGAATGACAATAGTCAAGCCTTTTGCAGTAATGTTGGAGTAAATTTACTCTTTCAAACATGTGTTATGTTTGCCATCATTTGGCTAATGCATCAACGTTGGTGACAATGATTCTTTGGCTACAGTAGGTTATGTCAAAGAAATGGTGAACTTCATAGAACTTCATAGAACTTCATCACTTGCTGAAATGGGGCCTATTTCAGTATGATTTGAATGCTTGCATTTTCTTCCTATTTACTGTAGAGGCTGCTTTGTTATGCAAAGAGGGAAGAATAATGTCACCTTTTCCATAGGAACCACATCTCACTAGAGGAAATATGCAGTGTGTGATGTTTCTGGAAAACAATGAACTGTGAAATAGCATTATTGCTGATTTTGCAAAGAGTCATGCACTCATCTCTCAGATGTAGGAAATGGACACAATGGCATAAAAAATATGTTCTGAAATTATTGAAAAATGTAATTCATCAAAATCAAAGGTTATTTATCTACAGTACAACAAACAACACCAATCAGATGAGAAAAGGATTTACTTTTAGCCTTTTCAGTGTGTCACGATTTATGGACCATTTGACAGTAAATCAATTCAACAGATTTGTGTGTTGTGCCATCTATGTACATAGGTCCTAACATTTTGAAACTTAACAAGTTAACACATGTTTGTATGTGTTGCTATCGGGTTGACTATGTCTGCTAAAGCCTCATTGTTTTGGTTGCCAATAAACTGACACTTACAATGGCTCCTCCTGGCTCCCATCCTCCTCCACCGTGGCAGGTGCTTTCAATAAAATAATCCATGGAAATGGAATCCTCATGTGTTTTGGATAGTATTTGTCATTTTCATGGCTTTTCAGAAGTGTAAGAAAACCTTGGCATCCAGGTCCTTCTGCATTCTGCAGTGTTCCAGCTGCATTGACTTCATGGAAATCCCACTAATAGCTGTTGCACACTGATAATCACAAATTGTATCACAAATTATACTGACAAAGTAGCTTCTTAGCTTTAGATTGTAAACAAAACTGTGTTCAAATTAATTTACCTGTTTCATATTTGTTTTCTGGTAATGAAAATTTCCCACATTTGAAGTAATGCCTCAGCACATGTCAGTAATATCAGCCTATTGTAGGGGAAGACACTGTAGGGATTCTGTGATAGAATAGGTCTCCTGTAACCTATGCTGGTTGTAATAGGCAACCAAATGGATCAGGTGGTCAGACTTGGTGATTGTGTGTCATCATACCCAGATGGTGTGGATTGTTGCTCACTATATCAATCTGGTTCACACTTGACCATTTACAGGCCATTTCCCTGAGGCAAGGGTGTTAACAGATTAAAAAGTCCAGTTTCCACCCTTGCCGAACTAGGCTGGAATTCCGGAGTTACTTTGCTTCCATGTCGCCGTCAGGCAGCATCTGAGTTTCAGAAGACAAGACTGGCACAGTATGCTGTTCACAGATTAGTCCAGGTTTCTGGACAGCTCTGATGGTCAGGCAAGAGACTACATGTGCGCAGGAGAACGGTTTAGGGACGCTTGCTTTACTCAGTGTGTTTGTTAATGACAATTTGAATTACCTACTACGTACAATCCGTTCGAGATCATCTTCTACCCTTTGTGCAAATGCAGGGACGTCAGGTTGCAAAAGGATAATGACCGCTCACATGTTGCATGTGTTGTAGCAGACTTTTTGAGGCAGCATAACATTGTTGAACTGCCATGGTCGTCTGTTTCTTCAGACCTTTCCCCTATAGAACATGTCTGGGATGAGATTGAAGACACCTACAGCAGGACTGTAACACTAACTCAGTTGGGCCAATATTTTGTTGACATTTGGAACAACATCATCCTGGCTGTTTTCAATCATCTGGTGTCTTGCAATGCCCCGCTGCTGCCTCGACTGTGTCAAGGCAAATGGTGGTCACTCTCCATACTGACATTGTTAATTGAGTTGTTACACCACCCCTCTTTTAGGGCGCGTGGCTCTGTATCATGTTACAAGGTATGAGGTTTTGTCAATGAAATTGTTATGATAAACTATTGAGACAAATGACCAACGTTTTTAAATAACGTAACATTTCCACCACTTAATATGAACCACAGTTACTTTTTTCCCGTTAATATACATGCCAAACTACCGCTTCCTTAGACTGGCAATTTCAGGGAGGACGTTTGTAGTGCGAGGAAATTCAAAAGTATATTCGTGGACTAGTCAAATAATACTGGCCAGTTTAAATTTTTCACAAAAAAATTCTACTTAACTCATTAGTACCTTTTTAGAAAACGAGTGGTGTGAATACAATGATTGTATAAATATTGTATGTCAATCTACAAGATGAATAAAAACACCCAAACAACACAATTCTGTTTACTTTTAACGTCCTTCTCTCACGTAGATAGACGCTTACCCTCTGTCTTCGAAGTACATTGTCCATATTCAGATCACAAATAAATACTGCACAGTACAAAAGGTACAGCTGTGTGCATGGGTGCTCAGTATACATGAAGACAATGAGTGTTGATCCCCTCCAAAGCAAAGACTCTACCGCGTGCGTGCACAAACGTTTAAAGTATCAAAAAATCCACACAAGATCCTGTCTATTATACTAATGTGTATCTGGCTTTTGGTTTTCAATTTATTTTAAATTTTAAATTTAATTTCAGCAAAATTGTGGTGAAGTAATCGGCCGATAGCAAGAATTCACAGTCATTTGTAGCAACCACAATCAGGAAACCGATTTTGACGCCTTGAAACAAACCATGTAGTTGTCAGATGATGGATACATTCATCATAGATGTCATACTTTGACGCTTAAAATGTCATACATTGTATTTCAATATTTTGTTCACAATACAAAAAGATAAAAACGCAGGTAACCGTCATGTTGCGATCGCTGATTGGTTGATCTCGTACGGTGCCTCAACAAAACTGTTTCATACCTAAACAATTACGGCTAATATACCAAATATTTTAAATATATGCTACAAGCAACAACTAAAATAACATGATATTAGATTATATCTTTTTCCTATTTCAACTATAAAATTTCTTTCCTTATTTATTGGTTTGTTTTGTTTCGTGTTTAAGGGCTCAGTCACACATTCAGGATTTTTACTGCCGTCCTTGATAGGACCACTCCCGATTAAAAATTGTCAAAAGTCTGATCAAGATCCTGTGATTCGTGGCGGGAAATTCACAATCAGATATTGTTCAGGAAACGTTTCCAGCCGAATTCGTCCCTATTCTCCCGTTCTCAATCCGAATCTGATCCGATCTGTATCTTCCACATGGTGAAAAACGACCGAATGCGACCCGACAGAGATCAGGGAGTGACCGGACAGTTAACCGACAAAGACGCACCATGCTGTCGGGAGAGCTTGGCGACCTCTCTGGACCTTTCCTGATCCCCAGGACTCTGTTACGAACGTATACGACTGCGTTCAGACAATGATAGGACATTCCAGATCATTGAGGACAGTAATCCGACTTTTTCACTTTTCGTGTCGTGGCGCTGTCTGATCTCAAACGGGAGCAAAAATCAGCACTGTGTTTACTGGCCTAATGCCGCACTCAGCAATATTCCAGATATATGACGGTCTGTAAATAATCGAGTCTGGACCAGACAAATCCAGTGATTGACAACATGAACATCGATCCACGCAATTGGGATACGATGACGTGCATCAACCAAGTCAGCGAGCCTGACCACCTGATCCGGTTAGTCGCATCTTACGACAAGTCGTCAAGCATGGGTTGCTGAAGGCCTATTCTACCCCGGATCTTCACGGGTCTTATTTTGGGTACCTGTTATATCAAGATATATAGGCACTTGGTAGGTACAAGCCCCAGTGTATATATGTTTAGATATGGAAGTGGCTTTTCATTTCAGGGGAACAAATTCAATTGATGCCTAAAGTATACATGTCTCCCATGTTTTACATATGAATTATACTTATGTTTCTAGGTTTGTCAGCACCACACCCGTGCTCGTGGGTTTAACCGAAGTGGTGAACGTCTGAGACCTGCATCACTTCGGGCTTTCCTCACACATTAAGCTGACACACCGCGATATAACTGGAATACTGTTAAAAGCGGCGCTAAACCCAACTAACTCACTCACTATGAATTATACGTTGATGCCATGTGTGATTGGGTACAAAATGTTCGATTTGGAACCGGAGCCTTGGCAGAAAGTATTTAGATACAAAGACACATTGTAAGCTCTTAGAAAGGCTCTTATCATGCCTACACTGAAGTTGACTGAATCTTTATCTTTATTCAAATATCTAAAAGTCAGAAGGAATGTGTGCATATTTAGAAAGAATTGACTGCATACAAACCTAGTTAGCGTTTATTGTTAGTCATTATACAATATATCAGTCCTATATAATGCGGAACATAGTTTAATCCCACTATTACTTCAAATGTGACAAACTTAATTACACTGTGTACACAATAATGACCGGGTAATGGCTTTAAATAGTTGTTTTCAATATGGCTGCCATGTCGGAGTCGAACCAATTGAACAAATTCAAGTGACAGCATTGATGGAAACAAGTATGTGAAATTTCAGCTTCATTGGTTCAGTGGTGTATGAGATGTTTTCGCGAGGACTACTGGTGCCCGTCAGGCCATGACATGACATTACTTGACCTCAGTCAGGTTAGCTAAAAATTGGCCGAATAATGGCTCTACATGTTTGTTTTGGCAACCAGTTTCAAGATGGGATTTGAAACAATGGAACAAATTCTGGTGTCATCATTGGTGGGAATAAGCAAGTCAAGCTGGTCAAGTGGTTTCAGAAGAGAACTGTCTCACAGATGCTAATGCTTGACAAGTGGGACATGACATTCGCTCTCTTACCTTTCATGTGTTGGTTTCTTTGTTGTTTAACGCCACACTCGGCAATATTCAAGCAATAGTTAATATTCCAACAATAAGACTGCCACCTGTAAATAACCAAATCTGGACCAGACGGTCCAGTGATTGATGAAAGTCACTGAGCCTGACCCGTCACCATCTGATCCATTAAGTTACGCCCAGCACAGGCTGCAGGGGATCAGTTTTTCACCGATTGATCTCACTTATAAAAAACACCGGCAACTTTGGCACAACCTTAGAACAGTCCCATTTCCTAGTTGAATATTTGTGTAATGAAAACGTACTTCTTATGAAAACAGTAGTACATGTAAACACAGGTCAGTGATGTGGCCTTCTTCCAATGTGTAGTATATGTCATTTTCGTTTTTACGAGAGAGAGAGAGAGAGACTAATCTTGTGCTTTCACATAAAGTACCTTTATCAAAAGTGAAGATTACTCGAACGATTGTTATTGAAGTACAATCTCAGAGACAAAATCACTCCAATAACATTAAGCATGACCTTAAACAGTGTAATGAAGGTCTCACAAGTACCTACAACTTCAATGGCCCTCCCTAAGGCTATGTATAGGTGCATTGGCCTACAGTAAATGTTCATAGTTATCAGTGTAGCTTGTAAATCAAATATAAAGGAGTATTATAGTTTTTAAATGTAGCAGCAGTCAAATTCCAGCGAGACCTTTCAGAATTTTTATTAAACGTTTAACCTCATGCTTGC